GTTTGTTTCTTCAAGGATGTTATACGTAGGCACAAAAAAACTCAGGATATCGCTCCACTCTTCATTTGCCTAGTCATACTACACTTCAGGCACTCTCGCCCATCGTAGCATCAATGGTCTTATCGGCATACACCAGAGAGTTTAAGGCAGATATCGAAGTATATCGCTGGCTTCTTGAGAATTGATGATTGTCAAAAAGTAAAACTGTGAAGAGAGTTCCATGTTTGCCGGTGTAATTCTCTCCGCCTATGCCGCGAGAAACATTCAAATAGCCATGTTTCTCTCTCTCTCTCTCTCTCTCTCTCTCTCTCTCTCTCTCTCTCTCTCTCTCTCTCTTTATACTCTCTCTCCCTCTCATTATACCTCGTTTGCCAACAGGGTTAGGCCTTGCGAACTCACGATTGCAGGTCTCAGCAGCTCCATATGGAATCGTCTCGCTTTAGTTTGCATTGGTGTAAGTCCACCTCGTGCCACTCTCTCATGCCTTCCTTCTACAAACATATGAGCCTGAGACTGTCGATTCTGACAGTCTTACTTTTTGTTAATAAGCCCGCCAAATTGCCGCCAAGGATATATGTGTATGAAATTATCTGGCGTATCCTCATATCCACTAGGTACCTAAAGTACCTACCTAAGCAACATGTGGGACACTAGGTGCCCAGGTGGAAACAAATGAACCAGGAGGGAGAAAGTAAAGCGTGCGAAACATCTCGACAATTATAAACAACCTTGCAATGGGGTAAAGGAAGAAGGGAGCAGCAGCGAGGGTGAGACAAAATGTGGCTAAGTGATAAGTCAATCCCTGCGTACTATGCTCAAACTGTCCGACCAAAAAGAGAAGCAGGACGCTGCAAACTGGAGCTGTGGTCGTATAGACAGTTGCACATCTCCAAAAGATCAATTCGATTGTCGATGGGAAAGGGAAGTTCCACGCAACAACATGTATTCCGCCGAACAGAGCCGCACTGATAGACACAACAACTAAAACAACCCTGACTTCCCTCTTCCCAGCTTTTCCATTATCCAACGTATTATCCACGCTAATCGGCGCACCATGGAATTGACTTTGTTTGATAGAGATTCCCAAATGCCTGAGAAAATACTTGAACAGGTATTTGAAAAATCTGGTACTATCTTTCAGACCTGTTTTGTTATATAGCTGACTACTGTCGTGTAGCGAGATAGTTTGAGTGACGCTGACGCGCTGCGGTTTTTCCCAGTAGAGAATGTACGTAAGAATTGCGCAGACAGCAAAGGCTACAACAGCTACCTCGAGAGGCGAAACGGGTAGCTTTCTCATGACTCGTGCGATGATTTGAATTATAGACCACACGATCTGGCCGAGCGCAATTGATTTTCCAAGAATATCGCCTTTGGACTTGTCCTTGATTTCTGCTTCTGCTATGTCAGGCAGCTTTGTAATGTGCTTTCTTTTTCGAAGTTGGAGAAATTCCTCGCCGGTAAGGTGGTACGGATCATGATAAATGGTTTTGTTCGCCAATGGGTTTCGTACGACGAAACCTCCCATGTTTGCATAATAGCTGTGAGTTAAACTCCAAGTTTCTTCTTCTCCCAAGTACAAGTTCTTCATTCTTTTGAAAATACTCCGTGCCGCAATCAGTTCGTTGCAAGCTGCAACAACCAACAATTCAGGAGCAATGCTAGTCCATAACATCCGCAGGGTGCTTCTATAAAATCCTTTCAATCCCCATTTGGCGTTTTTCCATGCAGGGCATGCCCGTGCACGCCATCCCTTTAGCGTCGAGGCATGGTCATCGACGTCTTGTTGTTGTTGCTGTTCGGGAAGATTGGGATGCTGGACGCTCCAAGTGCAAGCGAAGATCGTGAAGAGGGAGCTCCATAGAATGTCGAGAGTTCCACGGGTATTAGGAGATGACACAAAGTTCGACGTAGTATCAGGGGCAGAACAGTTTGTTTCGAATATCGTGTAAGCTTGAACGAGTGAAAAGAGACATATGATGATAAATTGGTTTGGCCATCGTGATAATGCCATTTGTGAAAAATTAAGATTTTCAACGTTGAGAAAATGAATGCTGTATACACTCTAGTTGAAATCTGGTATGATCTAGATTTATGTGTCGACGATGAAGGGGTAAATTTGAAGAAGAGAGGGGTATTTAAAGACATAGGAGTGCTCTTTCGAGTATACATCGCGACATGCAAAGTCGAGTTCTAATTATAGGGGATATTATTCAATAATAAATGTCTCATTGGTCTACCTCATTACTTCGGTGAGGAAGAGAAGAAGTATGGTTGCAATTATACAAGGATATCAGGCTCTCTCCAAATCGATTGGCTCTATCTACATGCAGTGACTGGAATTCGAGGGGGGGGGAGCAACCAACTCATCTTACTTACAACATACGCCTATCTACCTTGCGAGAATATGCAGTGCATTACTACCCAGGTGAGGCGGAGTATTTTCGTGTTGTTCTTTCTGCTCCCCTACAAGCCACTACAATTGTTGTATCGCTCCGCAATACCCAAAGAGTAACAAGGCAAAAGTGAGGGTATCTTGCGAGCATCGAACAAATCATCCGCCCCGCGTTGATACCGGTGGCACACACCAAAGTAGCACGAATCTCCCTGCTAACATCGTGCACCCAGACGTTGCATATAAACCACTTGGAAAGTACTCCGTAGGGCCTATTTAACAGAGTCATTCGCATCCGTCAAATTGAAGAGACCGGTATCCTAAAACTGGACGGAAGTGCTATTCCTTGCATCTGATGATGGGAGCTTGACCCGTAACTTTAGATAGGAGGGAGAATAGGGAGATATTCAAATGGCTACACAAAGTACACTACGTCGGGGCAAGGCAACAAGGACAGTATAACACTCACGAGCAGGGGAAGGATTTGTGCAACATGTAGCCCGCCAACTAATTGGTGATCTGCCCCCTCATTTCAACACAAGATGCCGTGACAGTCTACCTCCTACGGCTAATCATAGCAGTGAAATAATAGGCAGCTAGGAGCCATCTATCGCACGATAGGACCAGTTCATGCTGTCGTACTTACGCAGATTCATTTACAGTGCCCGCCTGTCGTTATATGCGCAGTACTATTCGCCGGGCAGCTACCGCACCAGCCCCCGGTCTACGTGATACTTCAAAGAGGGGCATCCTCGTACCAACGACCAAGGAGATAGGTAAACTTCGAAAATAGATTAGGTATCACGTATACTATTGATAACATAAGCTGCCGCTACTAGTTTGCTCACAGATCTCGAACAAAGGACTCGACTTTCATAGCGAACCTCTGTAAGCGATGTGTTTCTTTTGTAAATACACAGAAGATAGTCTATGAGAAAGCAAAACAGAACTCTATCGCAGATTCTACAAGCCAAGAGGTTGACTGAATTGATCCAACAGACTCTCGCCAGTTCGACTCTGGCTGTGGATCTTAATAACCAAATACGCATCTTGTTGAACACACATATACCGTTTGATCTCCCAAACCCGACGAAACATGTAGATACGTTTGCATTATCACATATCAAAATTATAGAAACCACATAAGATTTACCATGGCTTGACCTCATAACTCGACTCTGGCTGTGGGCTTCTTGCAGAGGCGACTCCAAAGCATCGCGATGTACACAGCCTACCCGGGAGCTTTCTACCTTAGGTATCTTAACTCGCTTTTCCTATTATAGAATAGTATTTAATGAATCGTATCTGGAATTAAACAAGGCATATTACCCCCTACCTTTGGACTTACTGTCGAGATATGCGAGTCAACACGTAGTAGTACTTACGTGGGAACAATTAATACTACTTACAAATCCAAAAGGCTTCACACATATCCCTGTGACCTCCTCCTGGCTTGTGGGCCAAGCCGCCACGAATAGCACGTCATATCCCCTATTGCTGCACTCATCGTAATATTGATCCAATACCTCAAGACTCGCGTATCAGTGGCGGTCGATTCCATCCATGGCACCCTGCGTAGTATTTATCAGAAGCAAAAGTCAACCATCACCCACAGCCTTCTTTTCCGCCCCCGAGATCACAGCCACGTTGCCAAGAGCCTAGAGACGCAGCTAAGAAGTTTGACGCTCCAAGGTCGCATCTTCACTGCACGCTACTGCCATATCCTCATGCTTTAGTACTAGGTAGTTTTCTCCTCTGGACCAAGGCGCTGGATGCTACCCAAGGATCGCAACTTCTATCTTGAAGCTGCACACTTAGCTCGCCTTATCAGCGAGCGCAATCGCGACCGTTTTGCGGTGTGATGTAGCCACGAGAGAAAACGTGTTTCATCTATAAATAAACAGTTATGATGCAGATATCCACCAGCCGTTCCTTGGTTCTGTTGGTTCTGGCTGGCCTGTGCAGCGTGATGGGTCTATAAACTGCCGAGAGGGCGTCATCTCAGATGGCCAAACGCATGCAGATCGTTAAATCGGGCCATCGGTTTCAACGCTGCAACATCTGTCCGAATGTGTGTGTGAGAGAGTTCGAGAGAGCCATTTAGTGTTAGCGGATCCGCCATTCGGTGACAGCAGCTTTTAGCACATCTCCATATAAATCCCGTGTGCGGGATGGGTCCAGGCCAGGCTAGCAGCTAGCATGAATGTTGATGTCATTCCTCGCTGTATCTTTGCATCGCCAAAGCCAATTCGGGTTACATGGTGCAGCATTTAAAGTGCTGATAGGGACAGAACATGTCCATATTCACTGGATATATCATGTGGCTCGGACCTGTGAAGACCGTGGCTGCGAATAAGAAGCCAGGGGAGCGCCAGCATCACGTCACTCGCTGTAATCGTAACGCTCAAAGGCAAATTCACACCGTTCGGCCACGATCCATGCCTCCGCGTACACTGTAGCCACCGACAGCATCGTGTCCTCAAATCGCATATAAGTCGGGCCTTGCGTTGCGCCGTCCGCCGTACGTCCATCATATACGTTCACCATATACGTCCACCAAGAACTGAAGTGTGTCCTCATCACCATAAAAACAACATACGCACTCATGGAAGACCCTCCTTCATACTACTGCAGCAACTTTGTCAGCAGCCCCACGCCCAGCGAGCAAGAGGAATTCCTCTCACCGACAACTCTCTATGTAGCTGGTCGCTTCATTCACTCGGCTGGCCCCCCCGCGCCGCCACTATACGAGCTCTCTCACTCGGTGGGCTTTCTCAAAGACACAGATCGCAATGTGCGCATAGAGAGGCTGGACTACTCAGTGAAACGGCGAGAAGGCGAGGCCCAGATTGCGGCGCGGAGGAGGCACATTTATGACTTGAAGCATCCCGTACGAGTCACCTGCCCGACATTCCCGTATCATGCAGAGCCCACATCACGGAAGAGTCTCTGTACTTTTGGGCTGGAGAGCTTTCGGCCAAAGAAATTGTCGTCTACCAGGGGCTATCGCATTCGCCGCGCAACACACTCGCTTGATCATCAGTTGGTACGCCGAAATGTTCTCTTTTCAGCTGTTCCCGCCAGGGACAAAGCTGTTCGATATGAATGGAGCGATGCAGAAGGCCAGCTGGTAGCACGAGAGGTGGACATGAGCGATCTGATGACATTAGTGATCAGTGCTATGATGAGTACTGGCGAGAGAGATGCGCTGGTCTCAGCGTGGATGTCAAGGATATGGGCTGAGCTTGCAAAAAAGCAGTGAAGATGGGTTGCGCGAGAGAGTTGATCCGAGTTATACCAGCCAGTGTGGAAGATTGGTGTGAGCAGGCGGACCGGCTAAGCTTTTTCTCTTGGTATGCTCGATGCCGGCGAGCGATGATGATACGAACTGCTTGATGAGAATGATAATGATATAACGACATGAATATTGGTGTAAATAGCGAGTTTTAATATATCTCCCAGAGACTTACTTTTCCATCTTTTGCCCCTGCCGCAATCCAGTGTGCCGTCTTTGCAAGTTGAAGTCTGCGATCCTTGACGCTCATTCCAACTCCTTTCGCCAAGCTCTTTGTTTCCTGCGGCTCAGCCTCAGCCTCAGCCTTAGCCTCAGCCTTTTGAAGTGTTGCGCCATCGAATTCCTTGGCGGTGTTCTCTTCCCACTGCCCGGATAATGGAGCTTTAGTGCTTGCGGGAGCAGCTGAGTCCTCAATAGCAGAAAAGGCCACGGCATAAGCCCCGACTTTGTGCCAGCTCAACACAGCGAGCTCCTTTAGTGTTTTTGTCGAGTATACTCTGATCTTCGAATCCCACCCAGCAGTGGCAAATATCTTCCCGTCGGACCTGACTTTGAGATTTTGCTGGCCAGAATGCTTTGTGTTAACGATTTTGAGTGCGTGCTCCCATTCCTTTAGAGTCTTGCGGCCTGAACCTGTTGCGGAAGAGGCAGACGGAGTGTCAACCACCTCTACTACCCTCTGGTTAGGCTCAAGCCCAATGTCTACCTCTTGCTGAGAAACCGGAACCGGGTGTTTCGCTATCAGGGCATCTGCCGCTGAAGTAAAAAGGTATTCCCGATTGGGATGAATGTCTATAGATAAAACAGGCTGCGTATGGGCTTGGCATCGGTATGTCATCGTCCAAGACCCGTCAGCTTCTAGACGATGCACCGAGACAAATCCGTTTTCAAACGCTGCAGCCAGTGTCAATCTTTCATTGTGGTGTAACAAAGATAGGCTCATGGCCATGCCATTCTGTTGGCCGGGTTTGATAGTGTGGATCCTGCTCTGGTTTGGTAGTGTGTAGATATCGATCTGAGAATCGTCAGCTAAGTACGGCTAGACTTGCCATCGTCAGCATCGCCAATGGTGCGGCTACTTACGGCCTCAGAGGCGAGGGTATTGGGCACAGCGAGATTGACTTCTGCTGTAGACGAGCTGGTTTCAATAGAACCTCCCTGCTTGGGGTCACCGAGACAAGCAGCAAATGAGCAAAAGTTCATTGTGTTCACCTCCAACAAATGAAGGACCCAGGGCTGTGGGCGTGGCATGGGGGTGTCCTCCAGCGGCAATGAGACGCTGAGTCGCTCCTCGTCCTCCTCTTTGACCCTCCACACAATAAGCTTGTGATCACGGCCGTGGCTTGGGTCTTTGGTCAGTAACAACTTTCAACCTCATGCTGCACTGCGTATTGAGAACATACGTGATAATTTTGTCGTTGCCCCACCCTCTTATGCCAAGAATTGCATTTTCATGGGCTCTCCAGACAGCTCGTGGCCGCATAATGGTGAGGTCCCAGAGCACGACCCAGCCCTCCGCATCGCCAGTCGCAAGGCGCTCATTTTGTCTCACGAACGTGGCGGCGTGTACCTGGGCCTTGTGCCCTCGCAATATCGCTTTTGGCGATGGCGTTGATTCAGCCATGATTTTCCCCGCCTTTCAGCCAACACTTGTCAGCTGAGACATTGCTATCCAAGCAAGATGGGATGCATCATTAAAAGGAAAGAAGATCGTCTTGCTGGAAGTTTTATAAAGTGTCAGAAGATGCGTAGTAGCAATGAAAGTCCAAGGTGTATGGAAAATGTTACTAGAGTCACGTGCACTCCCGTATTACCTACACCTTGGTGCAGCAAGCTCTTTGGCACGGCAACTTCTCCAATAGCTTCTACCGCATAACATAACCCGACGTGCTCTTTCAAATCACTGAAATTGAAACAAGAGAGATGTTAGCCGAGATGCTACAGCACATGGGAAAATGAGACTTGCTCGACACGTGTCATACTTGGACATCGTCATAAGCTTGTGACAGCCAATTTCCGCCTGCTCTTACGCCGTGCCACCATCAAAGTCTCAAGCTTCTACTACCTCGGTGAAGCACCTCTCCTTTCTTTGGTCACAACAAGCGATTATCTTTATCTAATGAGGTACCACTGTCACAAAGTGTTGCATAATGTTGTCGTATTACTGCCTGTTCCACCTGAGACATGCATGTGAATTTGGGCTGATTATCGGTTTTCGTGCTACCGGAACTGGCCCTCAAGGTGACCCTAGACTACCTGAATACTCTCCTTGCTTCCAGGCCTTACATGGACACCACTCATTCCTTAGTAGAGGACTTCCCTTGTGTTGAATCTTGTTGGTTCTGAACACCTCATTTGCTGATGGTTGACTCTTTTTTAGTAAGCCAACGCCACGCGGTTTCAGCAGAGCAGTCCAGTGGATGGAATTCATGCGTATACATTAAGATGTATAAATGACCTACCCAGATGACGCAATTACATCCTCGCCTCTCAATATCTCGATTTGAGATGCTACAAACATAGGCCCAAATAAAGACGGGCACTAACAGGGAGCTTAATGGGTGGGGGAGCGGACCAGTCACAGACATCGTGCTGTTGCTCGACCTTTGTGATGTTTCGGAAGAAGCCGTAGGATGTGTGACAGGCACTTTATTATTGCTTATCGGTGCGTCTGATGAGCTCATGGATCACTGGTCAACGATTTCAATAGTACCGCAGTCGATGGCTCTACGGGCAACTGAAGCATGTGCCAACTCCACAAAACTACAATATTTCCTGCCACAATATGCATAGCTTGAGTTGATGGGCTGATCTATGTGGGAAGGAAGAAGCTAACCCTTGTTTGTAATGCTAGTCACGCTCTCTCAGCCTGCAGCGCTATGTAGACCAATATTATGTGCCTGACATGCTAAGCTGGAGCCTTGCTGGGGCGCCATGGGTATCCCACGCCAATTTGCCACATCCCTTGAGACTATCAGGGGCAAGGCTTGGCTTCCTTAGCAGCTACGCTTCGGTCTATTGACACGAAACACATAGGCGGCAAGGCCTTCAGAGCATATGAGCTGAGGTCTCGGATATGGCCCCAAGTTGCTCAGGGCTCCTGTAATTTAGAGGGCATGCCACATCTGTGCTCAGTATTACAAGACTAAGGGACAGATCTATGACTGCCGGCTTATTACACTCGTTCTCTGTCGCATAAGCAAAACAGGTACCGATATACTTGTATCACGTTAAGACACCACTGTAGTCTAACTGGATTTAGGAGTGGGAGCATTTAGCAGCTACAAGACTATTTTCCCATCAATCACTCACCGCATCCTTCCTTCAGAACACAGAACATGGCTACTACTCATGTTATTGACTACCTACTCGAATCTACCTTTTGAATCGCAATATACGGATGCTCTATAGATAGCAAACCGCAAGCTCAAAGCGAGATACATACATGCCACCATTTTGACTCTGTTCCCGAAAACTGAGAGACGAACATACATACCCTTCAAATAGCAACATCATTTATTCGTATCTCGGCTACCGATACACCTGGATCCGAAATAAGCAGCAGGCATGGCGATTATTTCTTGCAAGATAATCCTAGCCTTATTCTATCAATAGGTCATCAAAGACCAACAAGCCAATTTAACATATGTATTTTTTTTTTTGCAGTTGATTTAGCATTTCGTTGTCGAGTTGATGGCCAATAATTTGTGTTGGCTCTACAAATTTGAGCATGCATGCGGACTCTTCCGATATAAGCCGATTTATTACATTAGCAACAATGATCAAACCGTACCAAGAATCGCTGCAGAGCTCCAAGTACTCCAGAAAGTCGAAACGGGTGCGCACCGGCTGCCTGACCTGCAGAGACCGGCATCTCAAATGTGATGAATCGACGCCGTCCTGCCAAAATTGCGAAAGGGGGAGACGAACGTGTTTACGCGGAATCAGATTAAATTTCACAAATATTACAATCCATGAATCGTCTAATTTTATTCCAGTTGTTCTCCATAATAGTATGACTTTGTACTTCAATCTATGGAGATGGGAATTCCACGCTAATATGTTGCTGTTAGATATAGTTACGATCAGAGACGAATCTCGCCAAATCGCCTCGGAGTATCAAAACGGGCTTATCAGATATGTAGACGCTGAAAGTAGCCAGTATATAGAATGTAGCGCGGTGGCTCGAACGCAAACCCCAATTTCCGACCATGGATCCTCTAGTTCTATCCTACAGGGACATGTCTGGCACATCTACATATCACCCGAGAGCTCGAATAAGGCGAGGAGCATATATAGCGATAGCTTGATTCTTCAAGCTACCGAGTGGCGCAAAGGAGCTACAGTCGACTCAGGACCAATGAGTCTGTCCGAAGTCGAAGATCGGTCAAATATCAGTGTAAGTATCGAAGACGACAGTGCTACCAATGCAGATGCTACAGGCCCTTCTGCTTTCGAGCGAGAGTTTCTCGACTCGCCTGAGCACGTGGAGTATATGCAAATATACGTTCATGAGATTGCTATTTGGATGGACTCATTCAATAAAGGAAAGCACTTTGGAGAGTGCCTGCCATATCGAGCGCTGGATTCTCCCCTGCTGCTTTACTCTCTGCTGGCTTGTGGTGTTAGACGTCTATCACATCGCCAGCCAGATTTGAGCAGCAGAGCCACAGCCTATTACAGCACAGCAAATATGCAGCTATTCCGCTATCGAGAGAATCCAGAGCGTAACATCGAAGAATGTTCCGTTGCAGCAACTATTTTAAAACTCTATAACATCATGTTTAAAGAGAGACCGGAGACTGGCGGCCACAGTCTTGCGGTGCTCAACTCTATCATTGGCGAAAGCCAGTGGACTGCGGAGAGCGACGGCATCGGATCGGCATGTTTCTGGTTAAACGCCTACTTGGACGTCTTGGGGAGCCTGGAAACAGGCTGTCATTTGTCATTTGGCGGATGGAATATGGAATTGGGCTTTCCCAGCGACGGAAACGAAGTCATGGCCCAAGGAGACGAGGAATTATGGGCGCAGAAAATGCTGTTTATCCTGGCCAAGGTGGCAAGCTACAGACTGCATGTGCTGTCATTTACGGAGATGGATCCGAGGGAAAACAGGACTTTGGAAAATCATATCCCGGAATGGAAGCAGCTGAAGCAGCTCTGTGTGGAGTGGAGCGATGCATGTCCGAGGAACTTGCGCCCATTGGGATATATGCAGCCCAATCAAATGGAAAGCGATTCTGTGTTTCCGAAAGCATGGGCACCCAAACAAGAAGCGATGTTCTGTCGTCTTTTATATCACACTGCACAAAGCATACTTACCCAGACACATCCCATGGAGCAGACAATGGTATCGGATGAGATAAGCTGGCTTCAGCTACACCATGCCCGTGAAGTATGTGGGATTGTCGCGCATACGGACGACAAGTATCTCGGGCCGGTGTACACACAGGCATTCTTGCTCGCGTCGGTCGTTTTAACGGATCACAAAGAGCAAATGGAAGTCTTGGACATTTTACAGAGGATGAAGAGTCAGATGGTATATTCGCAGCCAGGTGCCGAGGAGCATCTCAAGGCCACTTGGGGATGGGAGACTATAGGACCGGCCATGCCGCTGAGATATGATCAATGCCATGAGCCAGATGCTCAGATGGGCCCTACTCCTATGCACGCATCGGATATCTCAGCGGTTGTTTCGCCCCAGCGATCATCGCCGCCAGTAAGCGGTACGTATACCCCGATGTCGATGCCACGAACAGATAATCTGTTGCAGCAGCATGGTCCTTCAGCGGCCCCGTTTGACCAAGCCCAGCAATATGGTTATAGCACTTGGCGAGATAGCAACCCATACACGCAACCGTTCTATCCTCCTAATCGTTGAAAATTCTCAAGGCGCTCATGCTTGCTGGTCATATTAATTGGTAGGTGGTACTCTATTAATCAAGGGTGGTCTCTTGTCATGATGATGGCCCGCCTTGTGAGAAATTCATACTATATCCTCCCGTCTTTTCATCCTTGACCATCTGGAAATTATTGGTGCTCAGGCCAAAAGGTTTGAGAAGGCTATCGCCGAGACCACGCAGTTTCCCCCACATTTCCGACATCTCGGCCTCTTGAGCAGCCTTTGTTCGCGGTGGCAGGACCTTGAGTTGTGTTCGAACGGTACGCTGGTCCGCGGGCGTCAGGCCAGGCATCTGAGAGAGAGCGCGATAGTCATCTTCAGCACCGGCGAGGTTGGACCAGCCTCCGGCTTCAGAACGGGCGCGTGCGCGTCGGAGTAAGGCTTTTGTGCGGATACGCAGAATGTCGGCTTTGCGGGTCTCTAGTGCTGCCTGCTCGGGAGTCGGTTCGGGGGGAGCCATGGGTGCAGCTCGCTCTGCTCCGGAGCTGATTATTTCTTCTTCGACATCATCATCCCCATCAAGTTTGCCATTCGTCTTTTCATCTTTGGTATCTGGTTTGGTGTCCTCGAGTTCGTCTTTTGGCACAAGTTGCTCTTCGCCTTCGACTTTTGTCAAGCTGTCAATGGCATCTGTTGCGGCCTTTATAGCTTCAGTCCATTGTTCGACTTGCAAATGGCACGCAGAAATGTTGCTCTGAATCACTGCACGTTCGTAGTGAAGGTAGTTGGGGCACGAGGCGATGGCGTCGTCGTATCTAGAGAGGGCGTTGTGGTAGTCTTTGGAGGCGAAGAGGGAGTTGGCATCGGCCTTGATGGCGGCAGATTCCTTGAGGAGGGCCTAGGGTAAGAAGCTTTGGATGAGTATCTTTAAACAATTGCAGAATATTAAGAGAATGTGAAATTGGAATGAGTGTCATTCATGTAAGTGAGTGATGATCTATGTAGCGAGTTTGACAGATGTGAGACGAGTCACAAACTTGAATAGGACATCTAAAAGAGCGAGCTCAGGAGACAATACTCTTTTTACATGAGAATAAGGGGCGTGTAGTAAGATGGAGTAAAGATAAAAGCGATATATGATGTTCCGGCAGTTATTACTTACTGCTTCTTCCTCTGGAGGGAATCTCAAGACTTCCGGTTCATCATTAGGCTTCTCATCTTGAGGTGCTTCTTTTGTGTTTTCTGAAGCCTTTTCTTTGTCACTCATGTTGTGAGTTGCGTATCGCTTTGTACTGTGCAGCGGCAATTAGCGACCGGAGCGAGATGCAGTATCAAGTGTCTGTGATGATGAAGCATCGTCCACCGAGCTACGAAGCTCGGAAATGTGGCATGTGAGGCGATTATGTCAGCATAGCGCAATCTAGTGGGGAAATCCGTATGCGCAGCTCTGTAACAATTTCTGCTAACATTGAATTCAAAACATAATAAAGTGGCGTTCTAGCGGTTAAATATACAGCAAATATACACAAACCAAATTCTATCAAGTAACTTTCAACTCTTTCAGCCTGCAAGCATCAATCCTCGGAAGCAGCCGAAATACGGCATCGCCTTTGCGAGTCACTCACCGAACCCCCCCAGCGCAAACTGCCCCGCCCCCACTTCGGCCATTGAAGCGTTTTCGATACTTGGAACTCCCGATCTCCAACGGGAAACCGATAAAGATCGCGAGAAACCAACGATTCCTCACCTTTACTAGACGAGGCTATTCTTGGTCTCACTCTTCTCTCATAAAGTGAGCTACTGGTACTTCATCTCCAGCGTGTTAGAACCACAGAAGCCTTCGCCACATTCTTCTTGTGAAAATGGCTCCCCGAACTGAGTATGTCCTCTTCATTATGAACCTCGAACTTCTCGGCCATGAATCACTTGAGCTAAACTATTGCCAGCTTCCCTCCCGTGAGAGCCTGTCTCTTTGACATGGACGGCCTCCTTCTCGATACCGAAGACATCTACACGCTCTGCGTCAACCTCATCCTGGACAAGTACTCTCGGCCCTCCATGCCGTGGTCCATCAAGGCCCAGCTCCAGGGCCGTCCCGGTCCCGACGCCAACAAGATCCTCTTGGACTGGGCCCAGCTACCCATCTCATCCCAAGAGTATGCCGTTGAAACCGCAGCCCTCCACCAGAAGCTGTTTCCCGGCACCAAGCCTCTGCCTGGCGTCCCTGAGCTATTGACCAGCCTCTCTCGAACAGCGGAGCCTGGTGTTGAGTCTCCGACCGTACACATTGCTCTCGCCACGAGCTCTCACATGGGCAACTTCAAGCTAAAGACGAGCCATCTCGCCGACGTCTTCTCCGTCTTCCCCCCTCATCGACGAGTCGTGGGCGACGATAGCCGACTCAAGCCTGGCCGTGGAAAGCCGCTCCCGGATATCTTCCTCCTCGCTCTGCAGACCATCAACGACTCGCTGCCCGAGGGAGAGGCGCCCATCAAGCCTGAGGAGTGCCTCGTCTTTGAAGACTCGGTTCCCGGCGTTGAGGCTGGTCGCCGTGCTGGTATGCGTGTGGTTTGGTGCCCTCATCCTATGCTTAAGAAGGAGTACGCTGGCCTTGAGGAGAAAGTCCTAGCTGGACGAACTGGCACGGCTGGAGATGTCGACTTGCATCAGGTTGGTGAGTTGGGCGATGGCTGGGCGGAGTACCTTGCTTCGCTGGAGAACTTTCCATATGAGAAATACGGCATGGTTATCCCGCCGCCAAAGGCATAGATGGTGAGTAGATGGATATGTTTCGCGAATATGATACCGACTGACACAGTATAAAGAACTTTTTCTTATTATGGATATAAAACGAGAGACGACTGATTTATGGCGGGAATGAATACAGGTGCTCCTTTCGTATTGCATCTATCGCGAACATACATACATTGGAAGGACGAGCATAAAAACTGCAAAGGAGAAGAAACGAACACTTAGATTTTAGAATACTTGCCGTGTTGTATTGAGCATATAGAAGAGAGCGTTTCTCATCGCTTACTCTTTTGATTCACCAGCCCTTTCCATGCAAAATCAAAGTAAGGTAGCTTGAATCAAGCGGACTACAAAGTCTACGATTGCGGTCATAGTAGGTCTTGTATGGAAATTGTTGACCAAGCGCTGCCATTAATAAGAGCATCCTGAAGCGTATTATAATTTAATTTGAAGATGCAATGGGCGGTCTGCACGAGAGGCTGCTGAGACGATTTGATACGTCATGGCTGTGACGTAATATGATGTCGACTCACATTTACTTTGCGTCTCCACGCTTTCAATCTTTCATATCATTCTGGCTTATGACAGCTTGTGAGTTCAAAACCAACAAGATAGTCAATAAAGTCACCATATTGGAGGAAGAAAAAGGAAAAGGACCATGGCTGATCCCTTCTCTCTCACGCAAACCGTCCTCGCTTCCGACCCTGTGGCCTACAAATCAGCCACGCAATCGTCGTTCCTTACTCGCGCTGCCGAAGGCCGCGTTTCGAAAGATTATCTCGGAAAATGGCTTTCGAATGATCGGCTCTACATCCATGGGTACATCCGAGGCGTGGGCCGTCTCCTCAGCTTCTTACAACTCCCCGAGACAGTTGAAGAAGAGGCAGATGTCTCCGAGAGCACCAGGCTGCTTCACTGGATGATTGACGCCCTAGTCAACATTCGCCGAGAGGAAGAGTTCTTTGTCCGCACCGCAGCAGATTACGGCATCAGTCTAGATGTCAGCCACAAGCTGGAAGGGCTCCGTCGTTTCGAGGCTCTATTCGACAGCACCCGTCCCGGCGACGGCGACAGGGAAAAGGCCGTTTTACCCTGGCTCGAGTCGGCAATCGTCTTCTGGGCGACGGAGAAGTGCTACCTCGACGCCTGGTCCGGCGCATCAGCCCGGCTTTCCGCCCCGTCTGCGGCCGATGGGGATGAGGATGGTGGGGCCTTGAGGCGGGAATTCATACCGAACTGGAGTTCCGTGGAATTTGCGCGGTTTGTGGACCAGCTGGGCGAAATTGTCGACTCTGCGGTGCGGCGCGAGATGGAGCTGCGGCAGGATGAAGGCGGAGAGGAGGCAATCAAAGAAGAGCTGCTGGATAGAGCATTGGTGAAGTGGCGCGAGGTGTTGGTTGCGGAAAAGGCATTTTGGCCTGCGATGGAGTAGTCTACGTACATGATATACATGATGATGGCAAAAAACGGGCCCATGGCTAGCTTGTCAGAGCAGAATACGTGGTGCTAGCGCTCAATTTGGGTAATAATGTATTACAACTCTACGCAAGGGTATATGGTATCAAATTGTATGGATTTGAAAAGAAAGAATGAGGAAAGGGACAGCGTGGCCCAGCCAAGAGTTCTTGGCCGTGATGGTTCTTGGCTGTGATGGATTTTGGCTGTGATGGATTTTGGCTGTGATTTGATGCCAAAACATACCGCCACAGTAAGAGCCAAGCAAAAGTATCCAGAGCCAAGCCTCTCTACCGTACTGACACGGAAAAGATTGGCATCTGACACCTCTTTCACATTATTCCGTACTCTTGACCTCATTGGGAATCCCTAAGCTAGTGAATACAAAAAATGATAGTGACCGGCTATTCCACGGTCCCGTCGAAAGAAGTTGCCTGTTCCAGCAGACGGGGATAAAACGTGCAAAGGAGCCGCTGCCCACTAACACTGACCACTATTACCAGGTAGGGCAGAGCTGCATCTAACGGAATACAGCAGAGTACACGTACAAGCATGTAATAGTGTGAACTCGTTTGACCAGATAGTAAACGAAATAGTATATTACTGCAGCACTATCAAAAGAAGACAATCGAAGGTCTGGAATCAGCCTTGGCGCCCGCGTCGAGTCGGCTGATTTGGCCCGGGTGGCTGGTGTCAACGCAGCCGCACGCACGGACAGACGATCTGGCCCCTCCCCTGGCCGGAGGCTGAGCGATGGCTGGAATCTCTGGCCACCGCCGCTGTTTCGGGCTTCCAAAGTGCGCCCCCCGCTTTGCTGGCGCTGTCGTTTGTTTGAATCGCCCTGCAGTCGTGGGGAGCTTTGGGACTGCAGATTCTCGGACAGATGAGCCGAGATGCTGTCTAAGTCGGTGTCTATTAATATGCTTGGCGTCTATAGGCGTCTAAGTGCTTCGATACGTGTACGGAGAGGCACAGACGTGCATCCTGTTATAGTGTGCTTGTTTGTATCAATAATCTTCCTGCAGTGCAAGCAAATCCCTCCAGCGCTTCCACGTCCAGCAGACTTGACCTGCTCAAAGCTAAAACGCGAGCCTACCATAAGCTCCAGATTGAGCCGGAAATGCCGTAGCCCGGCCTGGTCCCTGTTACAGCCTCTCTTTGTCTCTGCTGCCTGCAGCGGCAAGTATGGCGATTCTGCTTGCTTGCGTCGACTGAAAATGAACTCAAATCGACCAGTATTACATTCTATCGCCATGCTGCGCCAGATGTTGATGTCACCGTCAACTCTAGATTCCATTCGACACAAAGAGAAGGAAAAAAGGGTTCACCCCAAAAGGGGAGTGATGGACCGCAGTGACTGCGCCACGCTCCAGCGGACGGGCATGTACCTTACAGCTGACTCCAGTAGCACGGCCCAGCCACTGCTGATTTGTTGTTCGAGCCGCTAGACAGTGCATGTCCGCTCATTCCCCCACCCATCGATAATATTTCGCGTGTAAGGAAAACGAATAAATAAGCTTGCCCGCAGCCTCTCGACCTGATTGTTCTTTGTTCTTTCACTATCGAGCTTCCATCTATCGTCTCTCATCCATCGTCTCATCTCTCCTCATCTCTGCGTGACCTTAGTCTCGTTTCTTGCAGCAGCGATATCTCCCTCTCGACTTAGACTCTTTCTCCGCTAAACCCCGCCATCAACATGTCCGCCAACGATTACTACAGCTCCGGCAGCGGCAGCGGCAGCGGTTACCCGCCCCAGCAGCAGTACGGCCAGCAGCAGCACGGCCAGCAGCAGCAGTACGGCGGCTACAACCAGCAGCAGGGCTACCCTCAACAGGTAAATTGAATGATTGATACCTTTCAGTTTAATTAGACTCTCGGCTAACACATTTGAAAACAGCCTCAGTACGGCGGCCAGCAGCAGCAGTACAACCAGGGCTACCCCCCTCAGCAGCAGTACGGCCAGCACCAGCAGCAGTACGACAACAACCGCAGCGCCTCTCCCTACGACCAACAGCCCCAATATGGCCAGCACCAGCAGCAGTATGGCCAGCAGCAATACGGCCAGCAGCAGCAGTATGGCGGCCAGCCCGGCTACGACCAGCAGCAGTACGGCGGCGGCCCTCCCGGCGCTGAGGGTCCCGATGGCGAGCGTGGTCTCGGTGCCACTTTGATTGGAGGCGGTGCTGCCGGTTTCGCCGCTCACAAGGCCGGTGGTGGCAAGCTGGCCGCCGTGGGAGCTGCTGCTGTCGGTGCCATCGGTGCCAACCTGATTGAGCACGCTTTCAAGAAGCGCAAGGAGGAAAAGGAGATGCAGAACTTGGCCTATGGCGGTAACAACGATGGCCACCACCACCACCACCATCACCAGAAGTACTAAAGAAAGGCGATGCAAGAGAGGGATGTTTACACATTATGACTTCGATATACATATTATGAAACGCATGGGTATGGGAATTTGACTTGGCTTTCTTTTTTTGCTAGAGAAGCATTATGATATATGAGGGGCGTTAGATCTTTTTTACCATTTATACTATAAACTACATATAATAAAGAATATCAATAAAGTGAGCTTCTCATATAATCCTAGTAGATGTCTTAGGCTTATAGTCTATCACTAAGCTTAATATTACTCCATTAAGTTCCCAAACTGGAGTCTGGGAGATTTCTTGATTGATACAAGCTTTGCTTTTATTAACCTTGGATGCATGTGCTCATGCGCGTGTGAACAGCCCACGAACTTGCTGAGCAAACTCTTCGATATCTTGCAAGAATAGCTTTGGCTGCTCCAACCTTGCGAAATGCCCGCCCTATTCATTTCAATTAGAAGTTTTCTATTTAAAAAGGGGGGCCAGCAACTCACAATGTCATGTGCTTTGAAGAACACTAGATTCGGGTAGAGCTGATGGGCCCAAGCCTCGGGAAGCAAAACAAGATCGCGCGGAAACATTGAATACCCAAGCGGCTTTTCTTTCGATATTGGCAGCGCATCTCCTCTGAGTACTGTTTGGATGACCTGCGCGTGGTACAGGCTGCGAGAGAACGTGTCTGTGAACCAGTAGAGGCTGACCATGGCCAAGATGGTGTCGAGAGGCAGCGGTTCTCGCTGGTCAGGCCATTCAAGGAGCTTTTCCCCGATCCTAATATTTCATTAGCAAAATACATTGAGGTCAAGTTTAATCGATGGAGTAACTTACCAAGCTAGCAAAGCGATAGGATTGGAGGAAATGGCCAGTCCAGCGGTTGAAGGACGAGTGCCGTGCTCAAGCGCAAAGGCTAGTCCGGTTTGAGCCCAGGTTTCGGTGCGTTTCAACTCTTGTGCCTCTTGGGCGGATAAACTGTCGGATGGAGGCGGTGTTTCCCCCGTATTGAGGGTCAGCATGTTGACTATATTCTGTTAGATGGTTGTCCTTCGTGTTGTTTACATAGTCAAAGCAAGACTTACGGTGAAAAGCTTTACACTCGTTGTATTTGACTGACATGATCCTAGCCAGCACACTGCCGAGATCGCCTCCCTGGGCGACATACCCGTCGCTGAATCCAAGGTCCATCATCAGTTGGTGCATAATTCGTGCAGCTCGGTCCAGTGTCATTTCAACATTCTCGCTTGGGCTACCAGAGAGTCCATAGTTGGGCAGTGATGGCACAATGATGTGATATGGAAGAGTCTCAGGCGTGTATTTCTCCGAAAGGAGCTCCATCATGGGCAGGATCTCGAGGAATGAACTTGGGAAGCCATGCAGGAAGATGAATGGTATGGCGTCCTTTTTGGAAGAGAAAAGTGCCAAGAAACGAATATCGATTTTACCAGCTTCCGGGTCGTCGATGGCGATCTTGAAGTTGGGAAACTTGTTGATGCGGTTTTCGTGCTGGCGCCAGTCGAATGCTGTAAGCCAGGTTTCTTTAGCCTGGGTCAGCCACTCGCGGGATACTCCGAAGCGGCCGTCATTGTGTTGATTCCACCATGTCGCAGGTGCAATTTTGGATAATTTTAGGAGCTCGTGGAATTCAGATAGGTCTTTGTCGGGGACATGCAAGGTGAAAGGCTCAGGCTTGCCTGGCATGTTGGTGGGCAGAGTGTTGAAAGCCATTGGAAGATGGGCTGGAGTTTCTGGTATGAAGTTGTGGATGTGGACTGTAATATTCAAGTGAGTTCTAATATTCAAGATCTGATGAGAGGATAACTCAATCTTTTATAATACTCTTGTCTGGAAGGATCTCCGATGCCACGGACGAAGGCTGGCTGTGGTGTAATCCAACTCGCACAAGGAATGGAATAAGTGGGGCTGCCCAACGTCAATGGCTTCAGCTCGTCCACCGAGATTCCGGTCGAAACACGCAACTTCTCCTATACACTTACTTTTCGTACGACACACATTCTCGAACTCTCTACTGTATTCCTTGAATTCCTTTACTGGCGTGATCTATTTTATCCCCAAGGCTACCTTTTAGCTTCAGTTGTTGGACAACCTCTCGCATGGATGCGGCATCAACCAGGCGCCATGAGCCCTCTCACACGCCACCAGACCACGAGCATGAGACCGATGGCGGTCCTCAAGCCAAGAAGAGAAAAGTCCGCAAAGGAACGAGGAGCTGCTGGGAATGCCGGCGACGCAAGATGAAATGCATCTTTGGCTCTCCCGCAGACACCATCTGCGTCAGCTGCCAGCGACGCGGAGCCAAATGCGTGGACCAGCAGTTTCCGGAGCAGATTTCAACACCTTTGGACCGCAGTCTTCAGATGGGAGATCGAGTTGTGAGAGTGGAAGCGCTAGTTGAACAGTTGCTCAAGAAGATGTCCAGTGGCTCGGATTCGTGCTGCGGATGTGGGACGACGCAAGAGGATGAAAAGTTTAGCAAGGTCAGCAGTCCTATGCTTGGGGAACCAGACAATACTTCATATGAACCTAAATCTTTGAATGTACGCTCATCGCTCACGCGGCATCTAATGACATCTGTTGACTTATTTCTTAGCATGACGACACTCCTCAATACGAAATCCTAGACCGCCAGGGTATTCGACCTCCACATCTAGTAGACAGTAAGAGTCGTTCTATCCAATCGGGAAAATACAAAGACTTGTCCCGCGCTCTCTTCGAAGCCTTGCCTACGCCAAAAGACATTGCCATAATTTCCAAAGCACGCGGCGACTTGTCTGCGCGCTTCTACCAGATGCTTACCGTTTCGTACCATGATCTCGGCAAAAGCGATCCTCAATCATTAGGCAGCTTGTTTGAGCCGTCAGGACCAAATACCCACCCCGTCTTAATCGGTCTTTACATGCTCAGGATTGCCACCTTCTTACAACACTTGCATCCGAATCTTCATGAGAACCTCAAAGGGTTGTCAGAACCGCCACGCCAAATCATGAACCGCTTATTCAACACCGCCATCAATCTTGTGAATTCAAACGAGAGCCTCCTCAACAACATTGAAGGCATAGAGTGCGTAATGATGGAGAGTCTGTGGCATACAAACGGCGGAGATTTACGCAAAGGCCTGACTGCCATCCGGAGGGCCATGACTATCGCGCAGCTCATGGGTTTCCATCGCTCCAGGAGCTCAGCGCAGTGCAGGCTTCTGGGCTCTGAGAGACAAGTCCAGCCGAAATTCATCTGGTTCCGCATTGTATTTGCAGAGCGGCATATTTGTCTCATGCTGGGCCTCCCTCAAAGCTCCATCGATCAGAGTATGGCTTCCAATGAGGTTCTCGAAAGCGACACGCCCATGGGACGTCTTGAGCGCAAACATTGCGTTATCGCATCTCGTATTCTGCAACGCAACCAGTCCGAGCCAAGTCCTGATGACTTTGCCTTGACGCAAGAACTAGATAAAGAGCTGCAAAAGGCCGCCGAAGAGTTGCCCAAAAAGTGGTGGCTTCACTCAAATCTTGCCACGGTCTTGGACGACCCGGAGAGGCTCTTCTGGGATATGCGACGGCTGTTTCACCAACTGTTTCACTACACTCTTCTCAACCAGCTTCATCTACCTTACATGCTTCGCTCATCGCTAAACGGATACGAAAGCCAATACTCCAGGCTAACATGCGTTACCGCCTCTCGCGAAGTGCTTTCCCGATTCATAACGTTCCGCAGCGCCGATCGCATAGCTTTCTGGTGCCGAACAATGGACTGGTTCTCCTTAATGGCAGCCATGACGCTTCTAATAGCACATCTGGACGGGCACCGCCGAGGTTCCGAGTCTGCAAGATTAGAGAATTGGCTGACGCACCAACGACCCGGAGACCGTGCAATGATAGAACAGGTGCACGAAAGCATGGAGGAGGTCAGCCAACGAAACGGAGATGCTCTGGGAGCGCGCAGCGTAGAATTGCTACGGAAGCTGCTAGTCATTGAAGCCGAGGCTGCCGGTGGCCATGCAGAAAATGTGAATAGAGTGAACGTGCATGTTGCGACGGCCGGTGACCCAGTTGATGGAGAGAGAAGCGGCGCCGTGCGGGTGTACATACCGTATTTTGGCACAATCAAGATTGCGCGTGGCGGCATAATCTGCAAGGAAATGCTTACAGATGCAGCTGATCAACATTCGACACAAGCTCCCGAAGCAAATCTTGCAGATGATATCGCCGGAACTGCGAAGACTTGGGATAGCACACTGGCTGATGCAGGATACGGCAGCAGCGGCGTGTTGACACATGCAGATACAATGCCCGAGAGCTTTTCACAACAGGAGGAAGATTCTCTGTTTACTTCAGGGTTTGATGACTGGGCTTATCAGAGTGTTGATGTGGCCTTTTTTGACAGCTTGATGAGAGAGATTGGAGATGGGCCTGCCGAGCTGGGCTAATAGAATGGGCTGTGGGTAACGCCGATACAGTTACATACAACATGTGCCTATAAATTTAATGTTATAGGCGCTTCCCTGTACATTTATCACTCTCCAAACAACATGAACGCCGAGTCTATTGACTCCATTTCTTCAGTGATGGATCACGGGATATTCCACAAACACGAATGAGTCTCGAAGCAATTACATTTCTATTCTGTGTCCCTGTTTAATAACGCTAATTCCTTTGTTTTCAAATACAATCTACCCTCTATTCTTATCCCATATACTGGGCATACTTCATAAACTCCTCATCCTCCTTCAGTCTCTCCAGCTCCTCGGGGAACGTGCCAAACAAAAACTCAATGCCACCATCCTTTCGGTAAGGAAGAATGACGCACATTCGGAATCCCGAGTTGAAGCCCTCGTGAACAATCCGCACAGCATCCGCCTTTCCGCCGTCCTCAAAGAACTCGCCGCCAAATGCCACGTCATTGGCTGGGAACAGCATCATGTTGGTAATCATGGCGTCGAGCCCGTCAAGGCGCATGAAGGCATACCGCAGCTCGCTGTAATCTTCAACTGTCTGCAGCACGCCAAAGGCGTCGTTGGCGACTTGCGGCGTCACTTGCGAGGCTGCTTCGCGGATGAGCAAAGAGATGCGGCCGATGCTCGTCTTGGGCGAGCAGAGTTCCTCCACCGGCAGGGAGGATCGGGTGACTAGGAGCATGTTACCCATGTACGATGATGGGAGCTGGGCATTGAAATAGGGCCGACCATCTACGGTCAGCTCCAAGACAGATCTGTCTTCGGGGCCAATGGTTTGGCCATTGACCTCCTTTGCCACGCGGTGTCGCGCCCTGATCATGGCTCGCCAGTACAGAGCATGCAGGATGTCACTGTCGGTGAGGTTGATGCCCTTCATCTCTGGGTCTGCGGTAACCTCTTGTCTGAGCTGTTCCAGGCGCTCGGGCGAAATGGAGAAGATGCTGGTGGTCAAATCGCGCGGCTGCTTTCCAGGGCCAGGAAAATAAGCAGGCACAGGCTTGAAACTCTGGACATACAGATTATCCACTCCCTCGGCCATCTCTCCAGCTGGAGCGAAGCCGAGATGGTCCCATACGACGGGATTAATCTCTCGAGCAGGCTGGCCACGGCGGTCCTGTTCCCACAGGGCACGTGGAAGACTGTAGTTCATGCTGTCGGCATCCAGCCAGTTGCAGTTTGCCGACTTGTCTCCCTCGACATAACGGCAGCATTCTGCCCAGGCCAGGAGAAGAGTCACCATGCCTACTCCGTCAATTGCTGGATGCAGAGTACCCAGGGTCAAAAGACAGCCACCCTCAACGAAATTAGCCTGGGCAGCCACAATATCCGCGGGGAACGTGGGGAACCATGGAACATCCAAGATTTCGTGGCCCTTGTATGCGGAGGGAAGGAATCCGTCCTTTCGTAGATCTTGGAAAGAGGGAAGCACTTTTGACAAATCTTTGAACTTGAGCTGTCTTGGAGATGAGGAATGGCCATTGGTATGGCTATTTGTGTGACCATTTGTGTGACCGTTTGTATGGCCATTTGTATGACCATTGGTATGACCATTGGTATGACCATTGGAGTGGCCATTAGTGAATGATTGCTCTGGAAGCTCCAACCTGAGCTGTCCCTTGATGTAGCCAGGTTCTTTCTCCGAAGCCTTCACCAACTTGGCGTCGAGTGACGGCATAAGAGTGATCAAAAGAGCGAAACCCTGCTGCAGTCTTGAAAAGGCTTGATCAAAGCTCGCTCCAGGACGGAGGGCAATGTACATGCCAATCTTTGTGTATAGACTGGGCATTCCATGATCAAGGGCGTTCATCTTGAGCGTTTGCGGCGACTTGTACTTGCTTAAAAGCTCCTTCATCTTGTTCAACTTCTCAGCCGACTTGGAGTTTGTGCCATTTGCCAGTGTCTGACTGGCAAGGTCTTTAAGACAGGCAGAGAACTGGGCAATGGTGGGATAAGCGTACAGATGCCGAGGAGCAAGTCGATCCTTCAAGCCCATGGCAGCCTGGACGGAGCGCACAGCGCGGTAAGCAACAAGAGAGTCCAGTCCCAGATGGAAGAAGTCTGCATCGTCTGAGATGTCCTTGAATGCTGATGACAGCGTGACGAAGATTTCTCGCACCGCGGCTGTGATGGACTCAATCGATGTGGTGTCGACTTCCATATTGGAAGCCTCAACATCCACCTCTTCTGACCGCGACTCGTAGAAGCGATCAATGTACTCAGCGTACAGTTCCAGTGTTGCTCGTCGCTTGATTGTCCCCTTATCGGTGCGGATAAAGGGCTTGTCTGCTTCGGCAAACATGATGTATTCTCTGTGAAGCTGGTCCTTGTGCAGAGACATGGCATTTGCCTTCTTGACAGTCTCCCAGATGCTATCATACAGCTCGTCGCCTGCTGCCAAGCGGTCCTTCAACTCAATGAGCAAAGCAGCCTGGTTCTTTCCTGTTCCGACCTGGGAGATGATTAGTCGTAGATCCAATATTAACTTCACTCATATCAAAAACAGCGCTGCAAAAACTTACGATGAGTGCACCTTCAATTGCGGTATGGGTGGTGACAAAAGCTTCCGTGTCCAGCGGAGAGATCTTGTACCCATTGCTCAAAACGACAATGTCATCACTCCTTCCCTTGTAGGCCCAATGGTCGGGCTTCGTAGGGTGCTTGACATACAAATCCTTCAGATTGATTTCATCCTGATCAGGGAAAGTGTGGAATATGCCCTGGAACAGATCCCAGTGCTCGTTGCGGCGCACCCAGTGCTCGTAAACACCGGGCTCAATCTCCTTGAACACGAAGCCAGAGTATGGGTGGAAGGAGAAATGATACCAGTCTTCCCTGTCCGTGACAAGGTTGCCGATGAAGAGGCCTTCTGTTGTGCCCGTCAAGTTGAGCACGCGAATCACCTTGTTGACCTTGGCGGCGCTGGTCGGACTGACAGGTCCTCCGGATGCGCAGATGAATTTCGAAGAGCCAAACTTGGCCAAGACGTCTGGAGTCTCACCAAGCTCATCTGTAAGAGACGGGACAAGACTCCAGATGTTAATTTTCGCATGGTCTGCTAGAGATTCCAAAAGATTCATGTTGGGGATAACTCCAGGAGGTCCCAGAACGACCTGCAAATCAAAAAGCGATGGCATCAAGATATCCATAATAATACCTGCTCCCTACACGTGAAGTTCTTTGATTAGTGAATTGCTCAAGGATATAAAATTTCTCTGTTTGGACGTACATGGCTCATGGGGAAAGACGAGTAGATTCTATCTCCCTTCTTCCAGTCATTCGTCCAGGGAGCCATTCCATGATCGCCCTCAACAGGCGGCAACAACCGCACGGCGTCCATAGTGCCAATAAGGGCATGAGTCCAGGCAATGGGCTTGGGCAAGCCTGTTGAGCCAGACGTGTGAAGGACACAGAATGGATCGTAGGCAGCTTCTTCGAAAGTTTTGGTATAGGCATAGTGTTCTGTGCCTGCTGCATCCAGGAGTTCATCGATTCCTGGAAGATGCAGGATTCTCATGGCACGTTGGCTGAGAAACTCTTTGACAAGAGGGCCAAATGGCTGCTCTGTGGGCTGGACCCATATGTTGCAGTCTGTGGCTTTGAGAACAGCCAGAGCACCTTCTGTGCTGTTCTTTGCAGAGAGAAAGAGAGGCTGTTTAAATTCAGGAAGCTTGCGTTAGCATTGATGTGCTTTCAACTTTGAGATGGAAGAATGAAACTTGCCTTGTAGCCAGCCTTGGCGCTGGCATACATCAACAGAACATGTCGAATATCATCTAAACACACAGTCAGTTGAAGATTCAGTCAAGTGCAATTTTGCCATCTCGAGCAAAGGTTTCATGAGAAGCAAAACTTACGAGGTCCGATATAGCCCAGGGCCTCGAGTGTTGTGCTTTTGCCAACTTTGGACTGCAGCCACCAAGCTGTCTTGTCCACAGCTTCGGCAAACTGCTTCGCAGTGATGTGCTGCAGACCTTGAGAGATGTCTGCAGACTTTGCTATAGAGTATACAATGCGATCCGGATCAGTAGCAGCTACATTATCCAAAATCTGCGGAATGAGCCGCTTCCCGTAGTTTTCTGAGGAAGCCATATTGACAGTCTTTGACATCAACAAAAAATTGCAAAAGTGCAATGGGCTCTATCTCAAGAAAGGACAAAAGGAAAAACAGTCGTCGTCAAAATATCAAGTCAACATATGCATTTATTAAGTATGAACTTTTGTCACCAAAGAAAGCAGCGGGACCAGCATACTTGATCCCAGGACTGTCTGTGGGGGGGTGTGCGCTGTGAATTGAGCTTTGAACTGGAATGTCAGCTCTAGTCTCATGGCTGTGCTTAGTGAACGAGCTAGGCAGAATAATTTGAGATCCAGCACCCCCATGCACAACACGATATGGGATGTGGGATACTCAGCCAGCCTTGTAGGATTCTGTGAAGCCTAGAAGCATCCTGGGAGTCACCGTCTTACATCAGAGAGGCGGAGGGAGTGGGCGAAAAGATAGTCACAAACGCTAGTGCTAGTGGCAACAAATACTAATCTCATTTTTTCCGTAGCTGTTTGGCTAGTTTTTTGTTCCGTAGTTCTTACAGTAGAAGATAAGTGCCGTTGAATATTACTGACAGTAGTGCAGTGTTAGTTATTCTGCAACCCTGGGCGTGTGTTTATTGATATAATATCTTCATGTGTAATTATCCTAGCTTGGGGGAAGACTGTAAGCTATCTTCCACATCTAGTAAAACATCCCCTAGAATGTTTATAGATTTATTCAAAATATGACTTATTACTATTAGAAAATTAAATGTAATAGTTAATTTTTTCTTTTATAGCGTTTATATTTCAAGTATGTAATGTTTCCAGAGTGGTTAAAGAAATCTTACTGCTCCTTCTTGATTTCTATGTTGTTGCATTAAGTAAACAGATGTTGCATCTTCCCTGTAGTATATTTACTAAATATTAATAAACCTTGAAGAACCTCAGTTGCTTGTATAGTATTCAGACTGTATTGCTGGAGTTATCTTTCCCATTCTCTTCGCGGTGCTCATTTTCCTACACTAGCTGCTCCTGCAGGATGACTTGGGGAAACACAAAGCCAGCTGGATTACATGTGACTCTAAAAACCTTGCAGCTCTCTCAACCCCCTTGCGCCCCTTTTGTTTCATAACACAATATTATTGAGTCCTTGCATTTACGTGATAATCCTCTCCGGCTCGCCCCTGTTGGTTCCACTTTTCTCTTACTTCGCGCCTTGGCTTATTCGCCCACTTGTTCTCGCCCTTGTGATTTGTATTGCGTTAGTAAGGCTTTGTAAAGAGCGCGCAGTCTTCGTAAGAAATTTATATATATATACAATCTCTCTATTGGGTTCCGGGATAGTTACAGGGGACTTCTTTGCGGTCACCATGTACGGCATAAGAAGTTGAGAAATAAATCTGGAAGTACAAGGGAGTGTCGAAATAGTAGTAGTTGTTTCATCAAAGGGAGGGGCGCGTGCATACATGTACACATGTGATTCTCTCTGTCTTTATGGGGGGTTTTTTACTTGTTTTGTCAAGTGTAGGACTCTTTACAAGCAACTCCGCTAGGCCATAAACTGTTACAGCCATGAAAAAATTACTCCTCCAGTCCGCGGAAGCTGAGCTGACGGGAAAAGGTGAGGCTAGTGAAAGGGCTTAGCGTGCTCTAGTGTACTTGTAGTTACTTCGATGGGGCGGCGGTCCGAAGGATCGGTCCTAGCGCAGTTCACAATTAGCGCGCGCGCAAACGCGGGAGGTAAAAGACTGGATGGATATTATAGACACGCCATGTACACCAGGGTGGTTTTAACGGAGGCGATGAACTTGTAAGAAAAGAATCTATCAAAATCTGCATGGTGAAATATTCATCATTGGAAATATAAATAAAACCGTCCCAGTCCAAATCAAGTAATAAATATCAAACATATACCGATAATACGGAATATGTTGAATATACTAAACAAATAACTAGTATTTTTCTGGTATTGTGAGAAACTAGTTCGGGATGGAGCTTCAAGACATGCAACTGCTTTGTCTAAGCCTTCATCAAGACCCTGGTAGTTGCCTTATGGCGATGGCGACAGGTACTCCGTATACATTGATCAGTAGCAGTGAACACCTGTCTATAAAGTTCCTTCCAAATCTCTCGAAATTCCAACACCAACTCCTCCTCACAACAACAACTCCGCTCTAATCCAGAGACTTCTCAAGCACTTTCATTTCTTTCTCCTTCCTAGATACCCTTTTTGATAACAATTTTTTTTGCTTTCCACCTTTTCACAATGGAGACTCTTACCTCAGTTCCTGCCTTCGCCTCCCTGGAGAGCGCTGAGCTCGCCCAGGCTACTCAGGAAGCCACCGAGCTCTCCAGACAGATCTTGGCCATCATCTTCGAGTATGCTCTCAACAAATTCGACGACAGCATGGACAGACTCGGAGCTGGTATCCCCAAGTTCCTTGCTGTCATTGACGCGTTCGTCATGGCCAAGAAGCAGGTCCTGATGTGCCTGCCTGCCTTCCCCTTCAAGTCTGCCAACAAGCAGTACAAGGTCCTGGGTGTTTTGCCCGACAAGGCAGAGGAGATTGCTGTCGAGCGCCTCAACACCATGTGTGTGCGCATTGGCAAGATCTATGCTCCTGGTGCCAAGCTGACCATCATCTCTGATGGCCTTGTATACAACGATCTCTTGAGCATTCCTGATCGCCACACCTGGGCTTACGGCGAGGCTCTGCGCGCCATGGTCCTCCAGAAGGGCTTCACTCAGATCGACTTCTCCCGTATCAAGGATCTGGTCGACTTCCCTCTCCCAGACCAGCTGGACGAGATCAAATACGTTGCCAACGCCACCAACTTCCGCCGCGTCCTCTTGAACAAGTACGGCAAGGAGGACCACGACATTGATAGCGAGATTGCAGAGAAGCCCGACACTCTCATGACATATCGCGGCTACTGCAGATTCCTCGAGTCTGATTTGCAGTACATCTTCCCTCTTCAGGCTGGACGAACCAGCAACGGATACAAGAGGAGTGTCAAGTTCCTCGCCAAGGAGATGTTGCTGCGCGGATACGTATGTTCTTTCCAATACTTCCTTCTTATACTATAAGCTTTTTAATGAATACTAACCGAGAATCCTTTCACAGGCCTTTGCTGGAGCCGTCAAGAACGCCTTCCCCGACCACCTGCGTCTCTCCATCCACCAGTCCACTGGTGAGCACAAGCTGTCCATGGCTCTCCTCAACTCCAAGACCGGCTTCACAACCCCTTGGCACTGCTCAGTCGCCCTGATGGCCGACGGCGAGTGGGAGAGCGCCCCTATGGGCTACTACAAGAACGACCCCACCATGGAGGTTGTCGAGGAGGATGGTCGCCCCAGCTACTTCAAGCAGAAGGTTGAGGAGGAGGCTAGCAACTAAATTTTCCGAATTTTCTTTTTTTCTTTTTCCAAAAAGCGATGTCGTTTAGACTAGAGGCGCTTGCGACAAGGCATAGGCACACGGAGTACATAGATTGCTATAATTCAATTTACTGGATTTTTTTTCAACAAATCAAAATACACGTTCCATTCTTGTGAATATGGTTATGAGATTGCAAATTCGGAACGTCAATGGCATGCAGGTTAAGCCTTTTGGAAGTTTCAGGGATGTAAGATCACATGACTTTCGAAGACTTGTTTAAACGAACTTGTCAGCTCAAAGTTGCGCTCAGACGCAGATCTAAGATGCACTTCTCTATCAGGAAGGACCTAGTAGCCTATTGCCGAGTCTCATCTAATGTTACATTTCCTTAATGAATGACGCCAGTGAGACCCAGACCCATTCCTCCGCTTACTCTTCACGTATGCTGTGTTCAATCTCATTCCCTATATTATAGCCAGGTTCATGAACATATTGCATGGTCTGATAGTAAATATATTGATCATGACTGCATTGGCGTTACTTCTTCTGAAGATGGTATGATGGTTACACTTATTTGCTTCTTTTACAGAATGGCGTAACGCAAAGCACATGCACCGAAATGTTTATGAAACAAAATATGGAGATATCCACTAACCAGCTTTACATTTGGTTCCTCTGCAGCGTTTCACTGCAGCGTTTCATTGAGGAAGGTGGTTCTGCCAGGTCCAGTGTGTATGTTGCTTTGATCTAAACACTAGAGGGTTCGGGACCGAGGACCTGGTAAGAACGATATACGAACATGAAGGGATGCGTTTTTCAATGCAACTGCAACATTGGAGATATTCAACTAGTACGTCATCGTTCATGAAACACAGGCTACATGCAGACATATAGGGTGGAGGACAGACTCCGGCATATGGAAAATTAGATTACTACGATGTGAAATACATGAAGAGTCAATGGCAACTAAATTGTCTCTATGTAGATGGATACATATTCTAGTTGGCAAAGTCTGTGCTGCGTGCCAGTGTCTCTAGCGCATGAAGCTCAGCCAAGCTAGCCTCCTTACCCTTGAGAGCCTCAAAAGCATCACTTCCCAAAGGCACCCTCAACAGCTTGCCATAGCCCTGCGTGGCAAGATCCTTGGCCAAGCCAGTGCCGTCGACGATCTCAACGATTCTCTTGCCGGCAAGGGCTGGGTCACCAGGCTGCTTGCCCGCAACGCCGTCCAGGAAAGAGACGGTGTTATCGACGGAGCCGCCGACATAAGCCTCGTGCAGGCCGCTCTTTGGCTTGACGGCAGCATGCAGGAACCGGGTCCTGAAGATGCCAAGGTCAATCAAGACCACACGCACCTTTGCGGGCCCAACCTCGAGGGCCAAGGTCTCGCTCAGGCCCTCGACAGCTCCCTTGGAGGCGCCGTAAGCAGAGCATGCGGGAAAGTGTCCAAAGGTAACGAGGCTGCCAATATTGACAATGGTAGCTCCGCCACTCTCTGCAAGGGAACGGAAGTGTGGCAATGCTCCCTTGATGGTGCGCATGGTGCCAAAGGTGTTGGTGTTTACCTGGGCAATGAACTCGTCCTCACTAAAGGAGCGGCGATAGATGATCAGTAAGACGGGCCTAAGGTAATGGTAGGGATTGATGGATAGAGGAATACGAAGCATAACGTACTCTGTGTTTTCCAGGCTTCCGAGAATGCCGTACCCGGCACAGTTGATCAAGACATCAACCCCAGCGTCCTTGACAATCCTGGCTACCGACTCCTTGGTGTCGGCGCGGGTCACGTCCAGCTCGACCCATTTACCCCCTAACTGCTGCACCTCAGGATGCTGCTTTGCTGCCTCGCTGGGGTTGCGAGCGCCGGCAGCGACCACGTGGCCCTGCTTGAGGGCCTCGAGGGCAATCTCGAGCCCAAGGCCGGACGAAGCTCCGGTGATGAGAAAAGAGTGGCGCGACATGATGCAAACGAAAAAAAGCGGGAGGACAGATGGACTAACAACTTGGGTCAGGAGGAAACTAACTATTCGTGTACGGTGTTGCTGTAGAGAAACATGAACTTGCAGCGGCATCAAAAGAGGTTAAGTATCCGTTTGTTGCTAGTGACGGACCCCGGGCTTCGGTCGTAAGCAGAGCAAATCGAGGCAGCCAGAGTCTAGACAATAGACGTGTGCAGGAACTTGGACATCTGATAGGCAGCATCCGCATCAGCGGCACAGGAATCGCCCCCCAAGCGGCTGAGATGCCACGAGGAGGGGTTTCAGCTGCAGACGAATGAATGAATGATTCTTTGTCAAGTCCCTGTCAAGGAAAAACGTGCATGTGCTGATGCTACCCATTGCATATGTGTATATGCACACGCCCTCGAAGAGGCTTTTTGCTAGCTTGGTGAGCCTTGCTGACCCGGCAAGGGTCCTACATGTACCCGGATATGCATACAATTCTGCAAAAGGGGATATAAGTATATCATAATCTACAATGATAACAACTCTACTTGTTGAAGAAAAAAAGAATGAAAGGATTGGTTAATTAATTTATTATGATTAACCTTGTAAATTAAAAAACGTCTTTAATATGTGCATTAACTACTATTAAAATAGAAAAGCCTGCTTAGAACTATACTTCATCCGACCTCATCTGACAGACGAGCCAAGCAAGGGTCCCTGCCACGAGGCTAACATGTGGACGGGGTGGCTCATCTCATGTCAGGCCAGAGATCCAGACGTCCCTGCACAGGCGGCCAAAGCCGCTCACCGCCTCGAGTCCGGCGCCCCCTAGTGCTCGTGCCGTCCAATCGGCGCCGGTGCCAGAAACAAGCATGAGCGCCGTCGCTTTCGCTTGCGCAATGGAGCAGCCCTCAACTCAACTCTATCAATCCCACCCCCAGCAGCCCACTTGGATCCGAGTCCAAACCGGCGGGATTCACGTTTCCGTGTGTCAGATCGGCGCCGTTTTTTTTTCTTTTTTCTTTTTTTTTTTCTTTTCTTTTTTTTTCCTGCCCTTTTCTTTGTCTTTGCTTACATTGAATCTGCTGGATTCGGTTTTTGTTGCAGCAAACGAGGCGTCACCCTGGCCAGCTGAGGGCGGCGTTAAGGCAAACGTGATTGATAAAAGATGTTGACAGGGGTGATGCTGCGTGAAAAGTTGGATTCGGAAGGACGAGGGAGAGTTTTGCAGAGGGAAAGGAATGAAGGCAGTGTTTGACTATTGTAAATGGATTGATCGACAGAAACACGTAATATAGTAGCATTATGGCAAAATAGGCTTCCTACGCTAACAAGTTATTATGCAGCTATTGGTAATTGTATGGCACTTTTAAGACTTGTTTGCAAAAATGAATGAAAGAAGCCAAAAATAAACAGCCATTATGCTACACGGGTAGATGAATACAAAAATAGAAGCACCTGTAAAGAATTGAAAACTAAAATTGATTGCACCAGGCAATTGCCGAGTAAAATTCTTCAACAAGCCTACAGAAAAAAAAGAAACCAACTACAGCCACAACCCTGGCCGCGTGCACTGTCGCTGCTTCAGACGTTACATGCAGCGCCAGCCTGGCTGGACGGCGATCGCCAGCCACTGAAACCGGGTCCACAGCGTAGCACTGGCATAGCCGAAGGCAGCAACTGTTACCTGAACGCCAGCCCTAGTGTGGGGGTGGAGCCGCCGATTGATTCGGGGAGCTACGGCTGCTATCCCCTGTTTAAAGAATATGGTCCCCTGCAGCAACTGCTTTCGCCTTATACTAGACTGCAATTGCGAATAATCATTAAACTCCATTCGACTATGGTCTGGCACTACTTCAACTCCTGCATAATCTTAGATCCAATACATCCCTGCCTGTCAGAAGTCAGAATCCTGCCTCAACATTATTACATTATCCGTATTATTGGTATTTGTATTATCAAACTACTCTTGTCTAGCATTATTTGTGCTGTTGATTAATATTACCCCTCTCGTATAATACCTGTCAGCCTTAAACCCCCTCAATCCTATTACAATACAGTCTCGTTGGTGACACAGGACCAGACTTGCAAACCACAAACTGCCAATTCGCCCGTGGCCCGGAAGACATCCACTTTTTATGTAATCTTGGACGCATTCATGTCAGCCCTTCCCATCCTACATACAGTATTGAAGCAATACATGCTGCTGTTATTAATAGAACGTTGATACTGCTTGCGGTACAGTAGTCAACAATCACGCCCTACAAGTACTGACAATCCAACATCCCGCCCACTTACCGAAGGCTCCGCAGCCGGCAACTCGATCCTTTTTTTCCACATGACGCCAACTACTGGCTGCGAGGGGGCTCACACACTCTGTTTGTTTCTCGGATCCTATTGCATGACGCCCAGCCAGCCACTTTTCCCTCCCTGGAAGTTGCCCAGACCCAGCTAGAGCCATCGTTTGCATTAGCGACATGTAGACTTGTTCGGTGACTTGACAGAATCCTACGCGGCTGACGCAAGACGCCGCGGCTCGTGTATAAGTTCGTTGGTTGGTGCGGCTCGGCCCCAATCCGCGTGGCATTAGATTGGCAAACCACTACGCGCCTTCGGCTGTGCAATTGCTCCGGCAAATACTCTCCAAATTTCCCGATGGAGATCGCTATAAGCGGAAGATTGTGCATACGACGCTCCCAATATCACCCTATAGCTTGGCAATACTCTGTACTATAATTTCGCCCTCCTGCATGACGTCTGACAGATAACATGTCAGCCTCGACCCCGTGCAAGCCCTTATCCCAACACCTCCCTACCAAATGCTATAAACTACTCTATAGTCTGATTACTTAGTGATTATGTATGTGTTCTAGAATAAGGAATAAGGCCGACTCTCCCACAAGGGGCCGTAGGCGAGTCTTACGTCTGACACTGAAAATTGAGGGCGTGATATCTGGATGGAGTCATTGTCTTCTTTTCTTGATAATACACTAGTGGCGCAGGCACAGCCGGCTCAGCCTGGACTATGAAGAACTTTTGCGTAATCGTCTAGGACTGATTCGACATTTCATGCGTGCAGGGTCCTCTTAGAATAGTATGCTCTAGACAATCAGTTTCTAAAAGTGTCTGCATCAAACGCAGGTCTCAGCCACCAACTCCCCCAGAACTACTAGTACTTCTTAATTTTGTCACACAATTCACTGTTTTTTTTTTTTTTTTTTTGTCAAAGACAACTGGTGAAACAGACAGACACCAAGACTTTCACACAAGAACAAACTTCATACACTAAAACACATCACATAATGGAAGACTTCAGAGATCCCCTCGGCGGAGAGTACGCAACCGTCGTTCTCACCGGCAGCACAGGCTCCATTGGCTCATACCTGCTCGACGCCCTCCTAGACCAGTGGCACGTCCGCAAGATTTACTGCCTCAATCGCGCCCAAGATGGTGAAGCTGCTCAGACAAAGGCCAGCGGCTCGCGCGGCCTGGATACAGACTGGATCGAGCCCAGAATCGAGTTTCTGCACGCCGACCTGTCGCAGCCGGATCTGGGGCTGAATCCGATCAAGTACGATGAGATGCTTGAGAGGGCGACACACATTATTCGTGAGTTTCGATACACTACCATTAAGTTGGAAACGAAAGAAGAAATGTTTATAATTTGCAACTAACAAGTTAATGTTTACAGACTCTCAATGGCCAGTCAACTTCAACTGGGACCTCTCAACCTTCGAACCGCACATCCAGGGCGTGCGCCGTCTCCTAGACTTTTCCTACACCAGCCCCAAGAAAGCACAGCTCTTGTTCCTTTCCACCACCGGAAGCGTCAGCCACCTCTCGTCCTCCAAACCCGTCCCCGAGCGCCCATGTGAGGTCCTCTCGCCGGATCTCAACGGCTACAACGCCTCAAAGCTCATCAGCGAGCTCATCATCGAGGATGAGGTCCGGTCAACTGGCGAGGGCAACGCCGCCATCTGCCGCGTGGGACAAGTTGCGGGACCGGTAGAGAAGGAGGGCGGCGAGTGGAACAGACAGGAATGGGTTCCAACGGTATGTTTACACTTAAAAAGAGGACAAAAGATTATAAGCCAGCTAACATTTTTATGTGTCTGTAGGTGATTACTTCTTCAAAGCGCATTGGCTTCCTCCCATCTGACCTCGGAGCCCTGGACAACCTCTCCTGGATCCCAGTCGACATCCTCGCCGACGTCATCCTGGAACTCGCAGGCATCATACAGAAGCCAGAAGATCTGCCAAGCGGCAAGTCAGTCAACGGTGCAAACACCAAGCCAGAGTACAAGAGCCACGCCACCGTCTACCACGCAACCAACCCTCACTCCATCCGCTGGGCGGAACTCGTGCCCACAGTCGCAGACGCGCTGCACATCTCATCAGACAAGATCGTGCCGTGGGCGGAATGGGTCAGCGTCCTGCGCTCCTCAGCCGAGGGCAATGAGGATCCAGAGGCAAACACCGGCCTCAAGCTGCTCGATTACTTTGAGTCTCTTGGCGGCGTGGAGGACGGCCAGGGTGTCATGCCAACTCTGGCAACGGAGCTGACGAAGCGCCAGAGCGAGACTTTGGCGGCGCTGGATCCGGTGGGACCGGAGTGGATGAAGTTGTGGTTGAAGCAGTGGGCGTTGTAAGAAATATAGAAAAATGGTGTTGATGGTATTGAGCTGTGATTTTTATTTAGTATTAGATAGATTGCTTATCCTAATTAAATTGGACATATACATTGACGTCTTACATCACAAATTGTAGTGGCTATCGAGTAGTTACATGTAGAAATGCTGATTCAAAATTGGCATCAAATTGCAATTTACCTCTATAAATGACATGTCTAATTGTCCTCCTCAGTTCTCAATGCATCGTAAAGTGCCTCTTCATCGGACTTGGCACTCTGCGGGAGGTACCTAAACATGAAGATGGCTACGGCGCTGGCAATGGCACAGCCTGTGGTCGCCAAATATGGCAGGCCCATCCAAAATCCGCCAAGGGCGATTCCCTTGCTTAGCAGCCAGCCTAATGAGGGCGTGCCGACTAGGCCAACCATTGTCTCTACGGATGCAATTGCCGTGTTGACCGTGGCCAGGGCGTGTGCCTCTACCTGCGAGGCGAGAATAGCCCGAACTTGCGGCAGCAGGCCGTTACCGAAACCAAGGGCAATTAAAGAGATAGCCAGCAGCCAAGGTGTTCCCGAGACCACTGTCAGAGCGTTGCCTATTACGATGCAGATGATGGATCCACGGGCAAAGTAGAGATCCCTTGTCAAAATGTCAAGACGTAGGCGTCTATTGACAATCCACGTGATTGCAGGCAAGATGACAAGCAGCACGATGACCGAAGTAATCTTGGGGATGGTCATAAAGTACGTTGCCTGCGAACTATGATTAGATTCTGACGCTCACTAGCAAGATTAGGTTTAGGAGGGACTCAGACTCACCTTGGACCAGTCCCATTCAAATCTCGCAGTCACATATTGGAGCATGTTCATTTCAAATCCAGTGTGAACGGGGGTATAGAAAGCCATGCCGAGAATAAGAGGGTAAAGATTCTTGGAATTTTGAAGCAGTTGCCAGACTCGCAAAGCGTCCTTACTTGCCGTGTCCCACGCCGTCCGAATGACGCTCTGCTTGGGTCCGAGCGGGGGGAAATGCGGCGCATGGCCGTGTGCCTGCTGTCCATTGGAGCTCTGAGCGAGATGCAAGGTTTCAGGGATGAGGAGGGTTAGAGCGGTGCTTATAGCGAGAGAACCTAGGCCCGTCCACATGGAGAACCAGGGGTTGATGCTCAGCATCCAGCCAGCAATGGGACGGAAGATTGTGCTCAGGATGAGCATCATTGCATGCATCTGATAGAAGAGGGTGGTCCTTTTCTCCGGCGCAATGGCGTCTGTGAGAATTGTCCAAACCATGGCGATAATGACGGAGCCGCCCCCTCCAATCAAGTTTGGAACGGCGCTCAGGACAAGGTACCAGATAGAAAAGACCGTAGGGTTGAGCACTGGAGTCATTATCAGACACTGTAACCTCCAAAGCAAACAAACACATGTATTCTCTTCAACTTACAGACAATGACGGTCCAACACGATCCGAGCAGGTTGCCCAGCAGGCCCAGAAACAGGACCAGGCGGCGGCCGTAGTTGTCGGCGACGATGCCGTAGGGGATCTGCACGAGGAGAGCTATGCGCAAGTCAGTGGACGCAAGCGCAACGTTTGAATATCAAAGTAAATCGAGACTCACGGACAAACATGGCCGCCCACATCATCCACGACCTGGACATGGCCAAGGTCCCCTGAACAGCGGCATCTTTGCAGCGAGCGTCCTCAGTCTTGAAATCGCCAATCTTGTGGTCCGGGAAGTGGTTGTGGCAGGCCACGTCCTCCATGATCATCTGCAGCGCCGGATCCGTGACATACATGCTCAACTCGACCATGAAGATGAAGAGCGAGCACATGATGACGACGTATCGCGGCGATGTCGACGGCGCCTTGGGCACTGCCGGCGATGCCAATGGGTCGCCCTCGTACAGGGGCAGGTCCTCATCATCACCAACTTCGCCATCGCTATCCGAGTCGTGGGCGCCATCTGGATCTAGCGACCGCTTGCGAATGCTGCTGTCACTGGCGCTCCTGCTCTCGAGCTCAATGTTTGGCTGGCCTTTGTAGGCGCTCTCCGTGGCGGCCCGCATTATTGCTTGCTTTTAGCCTCTGATGAGAGCTTTAGCTTCTGAGGAGAGGCGATGGTGGGTGGCTGACCAGCAGCCAGAGACAGCCCACAGTAAACGCGACTAGGTATAGCAAGTGTCAGCGATTCGCCGAGGCTCGACGACTTGCTGATTGACACGGCACTTCAGATGGAGGAGCGATAAAATGAAGCACGAGGAGGAGGAGAGAAAAGCGCCGGCGTGCAAAGGGTCCTAAGCTGAGCAGTAGGGACGGCCGGGCTAATACTTTCTCCCTCCCAACATTGAAGTGAGCAAGTTCTGTGTCAGCAAAGCCGCATGGTTCGCACGTGGAGGCGGTGCTGACTGCAGAGCACTGGAGTCAATAGGGATCAATAGTAGCGACTGGGTGAAACAGCACAACCAGCACAGCCCTGCAAAGGGTCCGGCCTGGGCGCCTGTGGACGCGCGGGCTGTGGGCGGGGCACGGATTCCAGTCCAGTGGGCGGGTTCAGCTTCAGCTTCAGCGCATGCACTTTGAAACCTCAGCGGCAGCACGGATATGACAGGTCAATGTCACAGTTTTTCGTCGACAATCTAGGTCTTGTCTCCACCCCCGCCGCTCGCAGCCCAGATAGCGGGGGGTTGTACGCAGGATGGAGCACGACTTACAAGGTCTTGTTTCTCGTTTACAGCGATGCCAAGTATGTAATACAAGTAATACAAGTAATCATTGAAACGAATGATAGGAGACACGCTGTCTACTAGACATAAAGACAAAAAAAAATATGTGATTTTTCTAGATACACGCAGGAAGCCATCACCACCCATGCCTTACGACTCCTCCACGGTAACATATGCCGTGGCGCCCGGTGTGTGGATGTCGTAAATCTCCTTTCTAAAGTTGGTCACCAGCTGCTCTACCGTGCATGTCTCGTACTTGGGAGCCTCTCCGGCCTTGAGAACTTGCGGCAGACACTCAATGACCTGATCCAGCCAGCCGGCCATAAAGTACGCGGCGCTGTAGCGGAACTTGTCTGTGGGCAGCAGAACTCGGTGCTCGGCGGCGAGGTAATTGTCGTTGGTCCAGCGGGCTGCCAAGGGTTATATGATTAGCTGCTGCAAACGCATCATGTCTCAAATGTAACCAGGGCGAAACTCTTACCAAACATGTTGCCCAGGTTGATGACAAACGCATCGGGGATGGGCTCAATTGTCTCAAACTCGCCAGTCTTTTCGTTCTTGACTTGCAGTCCACCAACTACCAAGTTATTGTCATTAGCCGACTATCCATAATATATCAAAGGAACCCAGCAACAAGATAATTCACTTACTGCCGTCCTGGTACAGAATGGTGACAGCAGACGTGTCCGCATGGGCCTCCAAGCCCACCACGTCGTCGCCCTCTTCAGGCAGAGTAGGGTGGTATCGATGGAATCGACACAGGACAGCACCTAAAGACACATGTAAGCAGCGTTCAAGTTATAGTTAGAGAGTCAAGTCTGCAAACCTTCTGGCTGCTTTGCGAAATCGTCAAAGTAAGTCTCCTCCAAACCCAGACCCAGCGCAATGAGTCGCAGTAAGATCACAGCCAGCTTCTCCATGGCGGCAAAGTACTCTTCCATGGTTTCTCTAAAGCCGGGAGCGTCTTCTTCCTTCAGCCAGAGGTTGCCCTCCACGATGGGTCTGTTCCTGCCAGGCATGTGCTGGAATTATATTAGTTGCGGTAAAGTTTCATATAGGTATGGATACTTGCCCTGCCCATGAAAAATCCCTCCTTGGCTAATGACGAGAGCGATTCACGGAGCTCAGGAGACTGGTAGCCTCGCATCTTGCCGTGGATCTTTCTCTTGGTCTCGTCAGGCAGGGCAAAGAACTCGGCAGTCTTCTTGATCATGCCGTCAATCTGCGACTGGGAGATGCCATGGCCGACGAGCTGGAAGAAGCCAGTTGTGCGAAAGGCACGGTCAATCTCTGCGGTGATTTTGGGGACTTGGCTCTTGTCGCCGGCAAGGTAGCCAGAGATGTCGATGACGGGGGCAATGGAAGTCATGTTGAAACTGAGCTATAGGAAAATACTGGATTCACACAAGACTGATACTTTGGTTTGACGAAGAAGAATGGACGAGAGTGGAGGAGAATGAGGAGGGATGCTTGAGTTAACACAAGAGCACGTTAGAAGCAGCTTATACCGAATTGATATACTTGTATACCCAGTGACTTCATGCAATTGCCTCTTACGCGTGCCTGCAGCTCACAGCCACTAAACAATGCTGAAACTCTCATTATCGATTCCATGGTCTCCGAGCCTGCCCTCCAACAGTCAGCAGGTATGGTCCTTCAAGGTTCAACGATTTTGCTTAGAGACTATTAGTCAAGCTAGTGGTCAGAGTAAGATTTAGCAACAGAAAATAAAGCTACCTAGTTACCGGTTAGTTAGTCTCACAATCTTCACTTGTTCGAGTAAAGCGTTCCAACAATCGATATACCGCCGCCACTTGGCATGGGTTTTCCAGAGGGGAGTGCTGACATTCGCAGCAGGGGTGAGCAGCCGGGATCATATTCCACAGGGTAGGTCAGATTCGGTGGGCTAACCTTATCGAGAGCCAGGTTGTGGAAGGAAGAGATCCTTGGAATGGGGGTATGGGGAGCACTCCTTGTCAGTTTGTTCCTTGGACTCGGAGAGACTTAAAGTCCTAGCTGAAATGGTGGAGTTGAAGGATTACTTTTCCACAGTTTGAGAACTATTTTTACGAGAAGATATCCTTGATCGGCAGCTTACATATCGGTTCAGCGAGTTTAATCAACTTGAAGGAACGAAACAGCAGGTTTTTACACACTGTAGACAATTAAAATGATTTACCTTTAGAAGAGCTATTACAAGAACTTTTACAGAGTGCCATAAGTGCGTATAAAAGGGCTGTTATTTTAAGCTATTGAATACATGGAAAAAAGGTATTGTTATCAAACTGTTGTAGACGTCTAATAAATTTATAGAAACATGTGTTTTATTAGGCTAAGTGTCTCTTTCTCAATACCTACTTAACAAAATTTCGGACCACCAAAAGAGTATTTGCTTTTCCGTTAGTACCATGCTGGGAAACAATTGCTTTTCCAATTACTGCCCCAAAAGGCAGTTACCCTCTAGCTGCATGTAAGGCACATGTATTTACCAAAAGTGGAGCCCGCAGGAACTCAGAGGGGTGTTTCTAGTCGTGCAGTCTAGACTCTGAAAATCAGGCTGGCGCTTCTGATAACCATTCCCTATGTACCTAAGCCAAGGCAGAATTATTTTCGTACCAGAAAAAATGACCCGAGGCAATTTATATTCCATGTAGTATTCTAGCCTGTCTATGTCGTCCTCTTAGCATCATTCGCCCCCAGCCTCGTAGGTGGCACAATGATAACGAAGACTTACCCAGAAATTGCTCGTTGCGGAGGGTCTTACAGCGTAGCATACAGACGGGGCTATAGGCATACAGATTGGCTCAGATAGCAAGGAGATCGATCCAATTCAATGTGCAAGCAAGTCGCACGTGCAAATGCTGATTGACTGCTATTCAAATGGAGCTCTTCTTTACTATGTGCTCCACTGCTTTGGATTCTCAGCCATGAACACCACAGGATGGAAAAAAGGGAAGATTTTGGTAAAGATGAGAGAAACAGTGAGAATAGTAGCATGAAACTTTTAAAATGACACAGCATTTCCTGTTCAGGATACTCCGCTGATTGCTCGTAGAGCGCAGGGCGTGCTCAAACGGCCGCTCATGACCCCCGCTCCCGTATACCGGCTGCGGCCTCACTTCACCCAGCGCTCCATCAGCGCTCAATACGATCCATACCGAATCAAACGTGTAAATTCATCATCACCAGAAGTAACCTAAACAAACTTCACTATGGCTGTAGAAACAACCGACCAAGTCCACCAGGACGCCACCCTCGTCTACAACTACCACCGCATGAACATGCCCCTCCACCCCGCCGACGCAATCTTCTGCCTCTGCAGCCTCGACACGCGCATCGCCGCCCACGCCGCGCAACTCTATCTCGACGGCCTGGCGCCCTACCTCATCTACTCAGGCGACTCGGGGGCCCTGACAAAGGGCCTCTTCAGCGAGCCCGAGGCGGTGGTCTTTGCCGCCATTGCGCGCGAGATGGGCGTGCCCGAGGACAAAATCATCGTGGAGCCCCATGCCAGGAACACGGGCGAGAATGTGCGCTTCACGTACGACCTCTTGCGGGAAAAGGGACTGAAATTTGAGAAGTTGGTGCTGGTGCAGAAGCCGTACATGGAGAGGAGGACGTATGCGACGTTTAGGAAGCAGTGGCCGGATGAGACGACGGTGTTTACGGTTTCGAGCCCGAAGCTGAGCTTTGATGATTATCCTGATGCGAGCAATACAAGGGAACTCGTCACCAGTATCATGGTGGGCGATTTGATTCGCATTCGGGAGTATCCTACGCAGGGGTTTCAGATTGAGCAAGAGATTCCGGAGGAGGTTTGGGAGGCTGGGCAGAGGCTTGTGAGGGCGGGTTTTGATAAGCATCTGCCGTGAAGCCTTGGAATTCATGAACATACAAGTATCTATAGACGACCTGTTTAAGCGTAATTTCCATCGAAGGGATCATTTTGGCTTTAATCTTGGACAGAATGGTATTAACAGAATTGGCCGAAGAAGCTGACCTTATATTGCTCTCTCCTCGTCGTCTTCACGCCTTCTTTATGTCTTCTACTGCCTTTTCTGAAGCCGTCTTCAAAAATCCCCGGAAACTCTCCAAGGCCACCTCATCGTGTCCTTCCAACCACCGTGCTTCGACCGATACATGATCTCTCGCCACTCTCACGGCAACTTTGAAGCCAAACTGGCAAACCTGCGCCTCGGATGATGGCTTCTTCGTGTTACCTCCATCGTCCATCTCCGCATTCATCTGCATCTCCGCTTCTCTCTTCTTCTGACGTCGCCATGGCCGACTCCATACTTTGTCCACAGCTCTGCCAACGCCCTCGAGCTTCTCTTTATTCCAATTCCAGGATATAAGTTCCAGCGCTGCAATGGCGTTGCTCAAGCTCTCTGCAAACCCGCCGATATTGTCTCTCAGTGGCATCTTGAATGCGGTAGTCTCCGTCATGGAAGGCAAGATATTCCTCGACAGCGCGGCCTTTGTCCCCCTCGCAACGCTCTGTGCTGGCCGTAGAGGCTGAAAGCTCCACGCAATCGCCCATCGTCTCGTCTTGTTGCCCTGCGTGAACTCTGTGATGGCATAGTTGTCTATCTTATGCTCCCATAGCTTATCGACAATCTTGGTGAGGCTAGACAAAAAGCCTACCATGGCGGTATACCACTGGATGCGCTCGCGCAGAACGAGCGACTCCTCAAAGATGCGACTGATGAAACCAACTTCCCCGCCTTCGGTTACCATCTCTACCTCAGCGCCGGTGCAGGCAGTGAATGGTGGACGTGACTTTCCTGCTGCGCTCTCCAACATGGCTTCTGCAGACTCATAGAAGGGAGGATTCGTCATTGTAAAGTCGATGGAATCCATCTTCAGATCGTCTAGTGGAATGAGCGCATCGTCGGGTTTTCGGCCGACAACCCGAACTCGACTTCCGAGGTCATTGAGCTTGACATTGTTCCTTGCACATTCCAAGCTTTTCGCGTCGATATCTATTTATAATGTTTGTACAACACGCATCCCAACGAGGGAATGAAAACGAGTCAGACACACTCACCAGTTGCGATAAATGACCAGTCGCGCTGAGTGCACCCAAGCAACGGGTATATGCAGCTCGCACCCGTGCCGATATCCAGTCCAACCGCTTTCCGGCCAGGCTCATCGTACGATGTGGTGTCTAGCAAATCCTTGAGCCATAGGATATAATTGTGTCTGTTCGTAACCTTTTCACTCATCTCCGTTAGAGCGTTGCCGCAAATCGGAGCTTAGAGACGCTCATGTCACTCACTGGAGGGCACAATCGATCCTCTGGCAATTCAATTGACAGGTCAAAATCAACCTTGAGCAGCGTCTTCGTCAGTTGCATGACGGCGTTGGGGTCGCTGAAGTTGAGGTCACGACCTCGACCTTTGACGCTAATTTTAACGTTAGCATTGCCATGATCCAGACATAATTGAACGCTGTGAATGGGGAAACACAAACAAAGCTGCGAATTCTGGATCATTAAGCGCCATCGCTCGGAAGTCGGGAGCCTTTGTGTACAAATTGCGGAAATAGGCATCTTTGGGTCCTCTGGCTAGATCTCTGTGAGAGCCTGTCCCGACTCCTGCGTGAGGGCGCTCCTGAGCTCGACTCGAAGCATCCTCAGCCATTTTCGTTAATGAAGAAAGATGGGTTCAGCATTCAGTTAGAATATGATGTCTCAATTGTGGTGTAAATATACGTAAATTATGTATTAGGTTGAAGTATAGTAGCATTGAAGTTGCAAAGAATGAAACATGTCAACACAGAAGCTCAAAGCTGAGCCGCGAGTAGCGCAAAAGCTTCGTTACAATCATGCACCTTTAGTAGGATATGTTCGTCATCATCAATTGTCAAAAAGCCCATCCGCGCATTCCAGAAATGCCCATTAACAGAAAAGCGGCAAACTTTATCTTCACCATAAAAGCACTCTCCACCGCCAGCCTTCTAGAACTTTCAGGTCCTTCTCATCGACCTCCTGGTTGCTGTACTCGAGCCGCTGGGACAGTTTCTTGAGGCGCTTTTGCACTGTCTTGGCCACTCGCAATGTGACTTCATTCTGGAACACGTACATGACTGAAAAGACAAAGAAGGCGATGCTGGCGAGACGGTGATGGCCTAGGACGGAATCCTTGATACGCTGAAGGAGACCTTTTGATTTGCGGAATGCATATTCGGTGTTGTTGGATGAAGCTAGCGACTCAGAATCCGAGCCTCGGCGAAACAGCTTGCGCACAATCGGGACAAACGTCGCCCTGTTCAATGTCAGCTTTCACCATTCCCGCAAAAATGAAGAGATTAGAAATCAATCTTACAGAAATCCTCCAAACAGCCATCGCCGCCATCGGTGGTTCTTCGCATTCTTGACCATCCGTCGAACCTCGTTCTGGAGCGTCCGCACCTCACCTATCAAGATGCCCGTTTGACTGCGAATCTGCCACTCCAGGTCAACTTGCGATGCGTAGTCAAAACCGCGCCGCTGGTTCTGGAGGTACATGAGATGTCTCAGATTGCGCTGGCAGCTGGACTTGACATCCTTCATATCGAGCTGAGGAACCATGGGATTGTACGGAGATTGGAGCTGCTGCATTGGCGACTGGAGCTGCTGCATTGGCCTCGAGGTCGGGTACTCATACGGCCTCGGGTGGAAGTCTGTGGCCTTGGGATAATCGTTGAGCCTGGAGTAGTCGGTGGGCTTTGGGGGAAAGTCGCCCGCCTGGGGGAAGTCGGCGCCGCGCGGAATCGACGTCGTCCGAGGCATGTCGTCCATGCTCACCGACCGGTCGGGCAGCTGCTGGTCCATCACCGGGCGCAGAGGCAGCGCCGGTATTGTTGACGATGGCGGCGTAGTTGAGATGGGAAAGGCTCTATTGGGGGTGGGCGAATCAACCGGCTGCGGAGACAGCACCTTCAACGGCGGCGCATGCGGATCCATATCTGCAGCTTCTATGTCACGCGAAAACGGGATGAGAGGCGAAGTTATCACGGCTAGGGAGAATTTGGGGGACTCGTTGATGGGTGCTCGCGGTCCTTGTGAGCGCTGCCAAATTGGAGGTGGCTGGTAAGGTTCACATAAGGGACCTGCGCGTTTGCATCATTTATCCCACGACGCTGGGAGCAAGAAGCTGAGGGCGGTTAAAAGTGGGGGACTGGCCTCATGCTGCATATTGGACCGACGATATGCAATGCATCGAAGCTATCGAAGCAGTTAGTGAGGAATCACAGGGATCATCGTATGCGTATAGACGGAGTATGACCTAGATTGGAGCGCGCAGCTCTGCTTAGTGGCGGGGTTTGATCGACAGTCTCAACATTGGTTGACGTCTGTAGTTTGCAATGCTCTATATGTAGCTACTTGAATGAATACGTAGATTGACCAAGCTTTCGACAGAATCTTCCAATTTGGCGTTGCTTCTCTCTGTCATACAACATCTGGGTAAATGAATACTTTGTCAGAACAAGACCCATTGCTCTACCATGGCCCACATTGGGTGCTTCACCGACATCTTATAAGCCGTCTCCTTTACGTTTACCAAGCCTCTCCTTATGGTCCGTGCAGAAGGTAATAGTAATTCTACCCCTTAACAATGTGTGCATTTTACTGGTACATTTGTGAACCAAATCCAATGTTGTTTGGATAGCTTCCTTGAAATACTACTTTTGAGCATAGCCATGATAACCAGGAGACTAGCGTCACTGCTAACTGACGGCCAGCAATCAAAAGTGCAAAGTAGCATGTAGCACAGCCCAGTGATGGGAGGCCTGCGGGGTTATCGGTATCAAAAAAGTGAAAAAAGAGAAGTGAAAAGAAAAGAAGTACTGGCACAGAAAAGTTAGCAGTATCCGTATCAGTTGAGCCTCTAGCTGGGTATCTCTGCAGAAAGAGAGAGTAGCAGCAGCAATACTAATGGAGCTCTTGTATTAGAGTGCTAAGGTAGTAGTATGTACCTGTAGTCTTTCCAGAACTGGGAATCCATCTCTCGTTCAACGTCCATGAACTACATCTTGCATATATGTAAGCATATGGTGTATGAACGCTTCTAAATTAGATTATATGATTCCAGCTCAAGCAACATGTCACGCAGAACAGATATTATCACAACAAAGATTTTCAGAGCTTTCATGATACTTGGTCAAGATGCTAATCCCTGTTTTCAGCTCGACCAGATGTCAGGCTAAGTCGGTGCGGGACTTGCCCCGCTCGGCCGTAGCGCTGGATACAGCTATTTTAGCAGAACCCAACGAAATGCATGTCAAGTCTCACTGCGACGCTGCCATGCCACCTGTAAAAGCCATGGCTGCCTTATTGCTGTGGATATATGCGTCGAAACTATTTCCTCCAGGCGAGAAAAACAACGCAGCGATGGTAAAGCCGAGTCATAACGCAGTCTAAATGGTTGTAACAACAAGCGGTTTTTAGCACAGGCACCAGCCCCGCGTTTGCCTGGAGCTGCAGCCTATCGCTGCCTAAGCCGTTTGGCGTCACCCTATTGGTTCATGTTGTCAGTGAAACCACACTGCCTCTATGTCGTCCACGCAGGATTGCTTGGCGAGTTTCCTGCTGGTAGATAAAAGGATGCGATATCCTTCATTCAGCTACAAGTAGGACGCTTCTTCATCAAGTTCACTCTTCAAGGGAAAATAACCATCGCCATACTAATTGCACTGTAATTGACGGGCGTCGAATTCGCCGCCAAATTGCTTGTTTCAAGACTAAGCTGATCATATAGCTTTAAGTGATTCTCGCTTGACCGAGCGATAAATTTAACAATGGCCATCTCAACTCCTTTTAGCGAAGAGGATTCCGTCCACAAGATCGAGTATCTAGCCAACGATATCAACACTTCATCGGTGACCCTCTTCCCCTCCAGAGCTCAGGTGCGCCGAGAGATCAAAGCCGTCCAGCTCAAGGTAAGCCCCACAATCCATAGGTTAGTCTTCGCCATAATCGCAATCAACTAACAGAAACAAATTCAAAGCACGGCACAAATCAGATCACCATTGTTGGGCTCAGCCAAACGCTCGACCCCGACTCAATCAGAGTCGAGAGCAATGGCACCGCCACCGTCACAAACCTGGAAGTCGAAGAAGTACCCAACCGCCAGCTCTTCGACGAGGTGTATCCCGAGATTGAGTCGGAGTCTGAGTCCGAATCAGAGACCGAAGAAGTGTCCGATGACGATGCGAGACCAGAAAGCTCTCATCTAACAGCCGCCCGGCATGCGCTCTCCCAACTCAATGATAAACTGGACATAGCCCGCGACGGTGTCTGCAACGCAGAGAGACGACTCGGAATTTTGGAAGACATTAGCAATCTCGGCAACACCAAGGGCGTTGATTTTATCCAGATTACTCTCAATCACTATAAAGAGCAGCGTGCAAAGGCCTGCCAAGACATGGTTGAAAACAGAAAGCTGGTGACTGAAATCACAAAGGACGTCGAAAAGGCCGAAAAAAAGTTCAATAAGCTACAGAAAGAAGAAGCCAAGAAGAACGAGAAAAGGAACAAAGCTAAAACCAAAGCTAGGAAGGAGAAGGAAAAGAAAAAGGCTTTCAAAGACAGAATCAAGGGCGAGGCTAACAGAGAGAGAGCGCGTCTGCGCAGAGAGCAGGAGAGATTCTGGCCCCTCAATGTCTACAGCGTGTGCATCACGTTGGAGGTTGCAGCCTTTACACCTGCGTCTTCACGCCGAGGCTCTATAGCTAGCGATGTCGACGTCTCACTAGTTTCAGCTACCGAAGTTCAGGATGAAGCTGAAAAGCCCGGCTCTGTCGAAAGCGACCTGGTCTTCTCGTACGTCACTTCATCGGCGTATTGGATGCCAAACTACGACCTCCAACTCTCGACGACCAACGCATCTGGATCGCTCTTCTTCGATGCCATGCTCACCAATCGAACCAGCGAAACATGGAAGAACTGCAAGGTTACGCTCTCCACCTCGCAAGCCACTTTTTCCGGCCTTGACGATAAGATTCCCAATCTCGACCCATGGCGCATCGGCATCACTTCCGGATACGCTGGTCGTCGCGACGAAGACAAAATTACCTGGAGCAGCCAAGAAATGGTAGCCATGAATCGAGCCAAGCACCAGGCTATGATGCATCAAGCTGAAAATGCCGCTCAAACCAGCGCACTTATGGTAAGGAAGATGACGCCGCGCAAGGTCAAGCTTGTTGGTGATATTCCTCCTCCGCCACCACCAGCAGCTTCACGTGGTTCATCTCTCTTTGGACCTCAGAGCACAGGCTTTAGCAATACTTCTAATGCAGCAGCAACGGGCGGAGGCTTGTTCGGCTCTGTCGCAGCTACAACAGCGGCAGCCGGAGGTCTGTTTGGCTCTGCCGCACCTGCCGCACCACTGGCACAACCCTCCTCGTTTGGTAGTCGTGCACCCATAGGACCACCTGGAGGTTTATTCCGTTCTTCCGAACCCACAGTGGAAGGAGTGGAAACACAGCCAGAACAGATCAATGCCGCCGAAGTTGAGAAGCCTCCTTATGATGACGATGCCACCTACGATGCCTCTCTCATGGAAGAGACGGGCCTTACAACCACCTATGACCTTCCCGGCCTCAAGACTCTCGCTCCCAAGATCAATGGCTCCAAGCAGCGCGTGGCCCGCATTCCCTTCGCCAACGTCGTCTTCAGTCACACCGTTGTTGCTAAATACAAGGCCGTCGCATATCTCAGTGCTAAGCTGAAGAACAACAGCAAGGTCGCTCTCCTCAAGGGCGACGCGAGCCTTACCCTCGACGGCACCTTTATGGGCAAAACATCGCTACCTCGCTGCAGCTCCGGAGAGTCTTTTACTCTTGGCCTCGGCATCGATCCCGCCATCAAGGTCACCTACGCCAAACCCGAGGTGCACCGCACATCGTCCGGCCTGTTCAGCAAGGAAGACAGCGCCGTGTACGTACGCACGGTGACGCTCCACAACACCCGCGCCGTGGGAGGCCGGGCTGTCGATTTGCTCGTGCAGGATCAAGTGCCCGTCTCGGAAGATGAGCGGTTGCGCGTAGAACTCTTGTACCCGCGCGGTTTGGTCGTCGATAGTAACAATGGGGTTGCTACTGGCGCGGCCGAGAAGGAGGGCCAGAGCAAGGATGATGGTAGTTGGGGCAAGGCTACTGCGAAGCTCAAGAAAGAGGGCCAGCTTAGGTGGGATGTGAGCTTGAATGCCGGAAAGGCGGTTAAGCTTACGCTGGAGTATTCTGTGTCTATGCCTGGCGGGCATTCTGCCTATCAGGTTCATTATACGAGGGATTAGGGATTGGGAATGTTGGCTGGGATATATAGTTGGAATGACAAGTTTAATAGTGTTAGTTACTCTTTTACAGTATTGGCATATCTGAGATTGTACACTTATAAGCACGTTGGACATTTAGGCATACAAGCAGAGAGCCATAAATAGAAAACGCGGGGAAAAAAATGACGTTGGAGAAAAGAAGATTAGGAAATTCCATAGCTATAATCGTACAACGAAATTATTACTCACTTCAATCTACTATGAAGCTTATTGAATTACCTAGATTTAGCAGTTTCCTAAACACATGTATTCCGCTCCACCCTGGCATTGACACTTTAACGGACATTACTTACTGTAGTAGGTAGCAGCATCAAGTAAACTTTATGGTATATATGCTCTCGAATGTATTAGCATATTGCTTCGTACAAAGCGCACTTGTGACCACATTGGTTGATCTCGTGACCATTTATCATATTCTTAGGCTTAAAACGTGCCGGCTGTTATCTATCCCGCTGCATGTCCCCTTCGCATAGAGGCTACAGTCCTGCTACCGCTACTCTTCAATGAAAGGTCGTGTACACCAACCTCACGCAAATCTACCCATTACATTGACAAAGTCGACTTCAGGATATCTAAAACTATCAGACTCTTTGCAGCACTTTCCAGAGTACTATAACGTCACTTATTCATGCAAAGACTGCTGTGTTGCGTTCATGTTAAGGTACCTTACCTAAGGTAGGTACAACGGATTCATCTCAATGCGAGGTGGAGAGTGCCGAGCGCGGGAATAAATTAAAAAACCACGTGATTGTCATTTCCCCGGAGCCGGGCAGCTCCAAATTTCGTCCCCATCGTCTGCCGAGAATAAGCCCTTTTGGCTCGCCTCGGGTTTTTCAGTCACATCCTTTTCTCCCCGTAGCACCTAAAATCGTCTCCACCTCGGGCCTTGGTCTGATGCCGCTAGCCGTTGAGCGAGGAGAGCATCGGCCGTTCCGACGAGTCGTGCCAGAAGCAGAGGCAGAAGGAGAAGCAGAGGCAGCAGAGATGATTTTTACTGCTCCAGAGTCATCAGGAGTGCTCTCCATAGCAGTCTGCGGCATGTATTAGCTGCTCCGAGAGCAACGTGAATGCCATGGAGCTCATCTTCTCGGTTCGCAACGCGTGGTCCCGGGGTGAGTGGCATCAGTCGCGGAGCAGCTTAAAATGGCTCAGCAGGGCTTGATCCACGTCGGGACAGAGGGTGCATTCTATCTTGGTCGTACAGTACATCCGCTGACCACTCTGCAGAGCTTAGTGACATGACCCCAAGTCCTCCATCGCAGGAAAAGGGGGTGATCATTTCATGCACGGTAGCTCGCCGGTAGGGACCGGAAGATGCGGAGCTTACTGTACCTAGGAGACGCGCTTGCGAACGTCTGGATCTCAGATCTGCCAGCCGCTGATGGCGGGCTCGACACGTCGCGGCCCGAATCGCGCGCTGCCATGCTCTTTCTCGCAGCAATTTTGTCAATTTTACTCCGTACTTCTGGCTGCAAGAAGGAAAAGAAGGAATCGAAATTGATTTGGCTCCATAGAGCGTCTCAGCTGCGAGGCAAAGAGAATGCAGCGGCGATCAGACGAGGGACGTCCGAATGGCACATTGTCAACAGCATCTCAACCACCACTCGTGTGGCACGATCCCCCTGCCAGCTCCTCAAGAATGATCTGACGTGGTGCGAGGATCGACTGGGCTCAAGTACGAGTAGGAAAGCGGCTAGTCAATCCAAAATGAAGAGATGAAATTAAATCACTTTGCCGGCTGCATGATGCTAACCACAAACTGTAGCGGGGAGACCAAGCGCCGCTGGTAAAATTTGACTTGCCTCGCAGTGGCTCTCCGATACGACAAGGTCCGCGACGGAGCTGCGAGTGGTTGGCAGAAAAAGCATAACAAACGAGATAAAGTAATAATTAATAATGCGTACAAGGCTATCTAGGCCACGAGCGGTCATGCATCGGGGGGGTCAGCCAGCCGGCGCAAACGACTCCATCGGTGAGGAACAGCAGCATGCAACGACGGCAGTACGGAGCACAGTAGCATCAACCAGGGACTCCACGAACAGCCACGAGCTCGGCGTCATTGGATGCGTTAGCGCCCAGACAAATATGGGAACGGAACTCTTGTTCATGAATCAAAGACGTCGAATCATCGCCATGCACGTTGGTCGACGGCGGGACTCGAACACGGACTAGAAATTGGACAAACGTCGGAGCATACGGAGGGCCCACCGCGCGTGTCGTAGGGGTGCAATTTTCGGATTTTACTTTCGAACTGTACCTACTGTATGTAACCTTGCCTTGGGGCTCGCAGGGCAGACAGGGGCAGGCCTGGCCAACCCCAGAGAGCCGGAACATCTTTCTGATGCGGACGGAGATACAGAGAGTGCGCAGTGGGCAAAGCCGACGAGGTAGGCACCTACAAGTATATACAAACGACTGCGGCCAACCAATGCGACGCAGGAGAGCGATCGGCGACTCTGCGCCTCTCTCCATGCCATCCTCGTGGAGCAAATCTGTTGGCGCTGCACATAGGTGTTTCTGCCTCTGCAGAATGGCTTGAGGAGAGCCACGCGGACGGTGTTGATCAGCCCTGCGTCGCCAGCGTACTGTAGGCCGTTCTCCCCAATAATGATTGCGGGACTGGCGATGCCTATGGCGCCTATCTGGCTACAGGACTCGTTAGGGGCGGCAAGGGTGATTCACATTTACTGGCAACATCCGTCCGGCTGCGGACATGATCTGAATAATGAGGGCCCACCCCACCGACCGTGCGACTCTGGCCCTCTGCGCCCGCTCTCTGACTGGCCGCCTCCTTTTTCATCGCGGCCATCCGCGGCCAGTGAGAAGGCCAAAGGATATATACTTTGGCCGTCCTGTTTCGTCTCTGTGTTGCCATACCTGTACAGACATACGGACATGGACTTTGCAAAGGTAGGGATAGGGCAAAACCAAGTTATTTTCTTGGTTTCGGTGCCGGACGCCTCAATCTGGCTGAGAGGCCGGGTCGGCAGCGCCACCACAGTCATCCACCTGCACATTCCGTACTAGCCGGCACAGGCCGTGCTCCGATCACACATGGACCTCCGCAGAGAGAGTGGGTTGGGCTTTCAGATTGGCTGCGCACAGCTCTTCTTCTGGAGGCCCTCAGTTGCTTGCATGAGACCAGGCGAGCTGCTCCGTAGATGGAACAGCTTCCATTGTGTGAGTACGGTAGGTAGCAGCCGCAGGATGAGGCTCTCAAAGGAGGACAACATCGGCCCCACAAGGCGCCGCTGCTGGCTTCTTGCTTGATCCAAAGGTTAGGAAATGCGCCATTGATGTGTGCCGCCCGCCGGGTGCTTTCCCAACGGCGGCAGCTCAGCGTCTGAATCCTGGGTTACGTCAAGAATGCCTCTTGAGCGTGTTTGCACAAAGATACTGCTAATACTTCTCTTGCCGTGGCACTGAGACCGCGTGCGTACATAATCGAACGTGTAATGTCGCAAAATCACCAGATCTAGCGTTGCAATTTCAGCAGACAGCTGCCTCTGTCGACCACTTCGCTTGGGGTAAGTCGGACGATGGAGCTTTCTCGGTGCCGGCGCGGCTGTACGGAGTGCTACCTTGGCCACCACGCGCCGCGTCAGTCAGCCCATCATGTAGCTGCGAGCGAACAAGGGATTGGCCGCTTCCTCAGCAGCAGCCGTCTGTGATAGGCTACGCCCCGGATCCAAGTGGGCTCCCGCCGTGGCCTGGATTTGGAGAGGGGAAGGCGGCCGGCGCTTGTGAAATGAAGAGCTCTGGATGGCCGTGAGATGGATGGGAAAGGGGGGCGAAAGCCTTGCCTGTCACTCGCCGGCTTTGATGCGGCGCACCCAACAGCGAGCGGATGCCGCATCCATTCCGCTGATTGACTTTGGGAGAAATCCCACTGGCTGCTGCTAGGCACCTGTATTGACTGGCCGGCTTGGCGTTCATCTGCCATCCATCCCGAGGCACAGGAGCTCCTGGCCCTGCCAGCCCTCGCCGAACCGCATCGGTATCGCAAGTGACTTGTAGAAGATTCAGGAGACAGCCTGCAACGACATGCGGCGTCGTGTAGCCAAGTGCAAAGATACTCACGGGATACATGTAGTTACAAGTGGCCAATCAGTCGCGCTGCTTGCCACCAGCCGGTTCAGACGACTATCGCCCCGGAATACGGAGGTGGTCGACCTGAGCAGCACTAGCTGGAGTAGAGCCAAGTAGACTGGCTGTATCGGGAGACGTCGACGGCTGGTAAACCCCCGATCTGGTCGGCCCTGTCCTAGGCTGCGTCATAGTGGGATGGGGTGCATGCCAAAGGTACGAGGTAGAATTTCTACTGCAACATGTAGTGTAATTCCCAGGCGCTTCGACGGCGCCGGCACTCTTTGTGCTTTGCGCAGGTGACAGCCGCAGCGAGACGGTTCATGTTGCCTTTTCCCACACCTCCGAAAAAAAGAGCGCAGCGCAGGTCATGTTTGTGGGGCCAACGCCGTGAGGGAAGCAGTTGTGGTGAAAGGAGAGCGACGGGAGGCCACATTCCGGGGCGAGCCTTTGACGCACCGCATTGCTACCACTCAAGAAATATCATCTTCCATGGGCTGTTGCCCTGTAAGGGCTTCTGCCTGCTGCAAAGCGTCCAGGAGCCTCAGCTGTTAAAGAACACGCAGTCGCAGGTCCAAATGTCAACTTCTGGACGCGCCCACTAAGGGCTCACTGAAAAACTCGGCTGTCCAGCTCCCTGTGGGTGGGGCCGGACAAGGCCTCAAGCCGATCCGCCCGTGGGGCTTCCCACGCTGTGGCCGGGACACACACTTTGCGCTCTGGCGACACCCCCCGCCTTTGATCCCCCAACGACGCTCGCGCCCGTCTCCTGTTCCATCTCTTCCTCCTTCACCCGTCGCCCGACTCAACCTCTTCCTTTTGCAAAACCCTCGCTCCAACCGCAATCAGCCTCCGTCACCACCGGCCTCTGCATC